GCACTTTTCTGAATAAAGTTACAAAGTGCTTTGCAAAAAAATAAAACCAGATAAAAGAGAACGCCACTGTTACTGTTATGACATTTAAAAGTTTAATAACTGCGGACACATTTTGAGTTTTCTCATCTTCAATATGAATGATAAAGAACATTAAACGAAACTGGAAAATCTAGTCTTTATAACTTCAAATGCTGTGTTTAATAGTAGGGCAAAAAACATATTATTTCTACATTATCGATTACTTTTATTTAAGGCAATCATGTGCCTCAAAATCTTTTCAACTTGAGAGTGGAAAAGCACAAACACTTAATTGAGCTGACAGATTTCTCCTTAATCTCATCCTACCACCACTGTTTCTCTTGCTTTCTTTTACCTTGTTATCTTTTCCTGTACTAAGTTGCTATTCTTCCTGTTGCTGACTGCGGGTGACCCGAATCATTTCCTAAATTCCAGGAGTAATGGGAACCTCCCTGATTTCTCTTCACTGTCCAACATCCTCATACCCCCCCACACAGAGTTTTAACTCATTTCCCCACATGCACCTACCCTCTTGAGCAGTATATTCATCAGCTGATACAGAGTTGAAGTTTCCACAGAGGCCACAGGTGCGGTTTACATGGTGCTTGGTCAGCGTCAAGGCGATGTTGGCTGCATTATCAATGGTAACAGTGAAGCCAAACTCCTCACTCCAGAGCTTATAAAAGCCCAGCTCAGAGCCCACAAACACAGTGTGAGATGCATAGGGCAGAGACAGTCTACAGAAAAGGAGACGCACGTCAGTCTACAAACTATCGGTGGACTTTTTTCTGCAATAAGTCAACATGAACGTACAAATAACTACAGATTTTTGCATGACAACTTAAGACATTTTATTACTCTACCTTTTTTCTCCTTGTGTGAGCCGTCCATCTACAGACAGGTGCAACTCCCAGGCGTCTCCCAGAAACAGAGTGACTCCTGTTCTTTTGCCATTGACAAAATCCCCTGCAGAGCCACAACATGTTATTTATTCATTTATTTTTTACCATAATGACACTGCTACATCAAACCAAAACAGCCTCACACAAACAAGACTGTGTGTTGAGTCTGCATGAAATTAAAACTGAGGGTAAATAAGCAAACAATTTTGATGGTCTAATATTATTAAAAGCTGTTTTAACGCACAAATCACGCTATCAACCCCATGCAAAATGCACTACACACTGAAATGCAACAGACTGAGCATCAGACACCATTAGAATTCAAATCAGTTTGTTTCTTTATTGAATTGTCTGAGCATGACTCACCCAGAAGTGTGAAGGAGCGATGGTTGCAGTCTCCAGCCAGAAGGTAGCTGCAATCTCCAGGAAACTCATACAAGACCCCATCAAACGTGTGAACGTGGTGTCGTCCGAACAGACTGCATCTCCCTGTCATACCTGCCACACAAGCTGGACACACAAAATATACCAATATGCAATTGACTGTAGAAACAGGACTAGATGAGATCTAATATGAAATATTTCACACATTAATAGTTTATAAGACCGTGTTACTTTTGAAGATCACAACCGCTGATATGACACACACCTGTCAGATGCAGGAGAACCCAAATTTCTAGCAAATACCTCCTCGTGCACACCTGAAACACACATAAATATGCTCTCCGTTATCACCACCACCTCTACCAACATCAACATCATACTATGATATTTAAATATCACATTATTCTGTGTAAGAGTGCATGGCCTGTTTCATACAACATCTTTCTCCAGTTTTCCAAACTCCAGTTAGTCCTACCTCCATGGCTCCGGACTAAGTTAAATCACAGGGTTTGCAAAGAAGAGTCACACAATCAAGAATCAGAAAATCCAAACGTTGCACGTCCAGACCTCACAGTCAGGGCATGATGCTATACTGTGATGGTTTGGGTCCAATATAGGCTAAACTGAGAAAAGGGTCAAATACTTTGTCACACACAAAGACACTCAACCACACTGGAAGCTCTATTTTATAGCAAAGAACATACCCACACCCGTAGTTGGCTTCCCTTAAGGGTCCCTCCCCTCGGCAGGTTATGTCAAGAAGGTCAGAATATCATTCTGTCCACAGCTTGGTACCCGCAGACTGACACCATCAAACAGATTCAGCAGGACAATACCAGGATATGCCCACTGATCGCCTGGCTGAGTGATTAGTCTACACATGCGTAACTGTATCGGCGCCAACCCAAACAATTCTTGTGGAAAACACACTCACTGGAGATATCTCACGCAATAACACTGCTTTGCTGGTGTCACATGGACAAACACATGACTAAGCTGTGCTAAAATTACACAAACATAAACACACACTGGGAACTTGTATGGATCAACACTCTCAGGTGCAACCTTCACCGATCACCTGGAAAAAAGGACAACCACAGTGAAGGAGAGAATCACACTTTTTCAAACACAAACATTTACAATCAGTGTCACAATCTCCCAAACATAAACAAGGCATCCTTTAATATCTGTAACAACTAAAGCTTCCGTATTGCGTGTCCAAATAAATGCCTATCCAATTCCACTTTGCTACTCTCTGCATACTTTCACACGTGTTATCAGCTATTCTGGATAATTAGACCTCTCCTCAGGTTAATTTTGAGTCAAGCTATACTGTCACCAAGCTCAATATACTCATAACTATGATATAGGTGTAAGTGGTCCTGACAGGTCACAACAAATCTAACAAGAGAGTCAGAAGGATGTCAATCACACAGTCTGTAACACGTTCACACAGTCCTGAGAATAGGTCTATTAACGATGGCTCAGTTCCATCAAGCGTCGCTGTAAGCCATGCCAGTGAGCCAGCATGCAGAACACCAGGCCCCTGGAACTAGCTCACCCACTTTTTAATGTAATTATTGTGATTACACCTGTGTGTTTCCTGCTACGACACGTCTTTCATGACAAACAACACCCTTATCTGAAACCACTTTGCAACAATGTGTTCTGTTAAAACTGTTTCAAAGCCCAAGCACACCCATGGTAAACACACACAGGTGACTAATTATTTTTCCAAAGTAGACCTCATCAAGACTGTGTGGCTGTATCAGCCTGTCAGGGAGGGTCAAATTTCACCTCATGTAATTCCCATCACAGCTCCACCCATCTTGAACCTGAGGTCTAATCATCAGATAACTGAAAACACCTGCGGGACCTTCAAAAAGCTTTAGTAAGAACATATCTGTATGTATAATGTAGTTTTAAATGTTGGTAATCAGTGCTGGTAATACAGCAACAATCATGTTTCTCTGACTTTCTAATAAGCCATTGTGGTATATGTTTTAGTAATCAACAGAGCATGTATACCTAGCTGTCAGAATGTCTGTACTATGTAAACTGAGATGTATACGTCAAGTGTATTATAGTCACCAAGGCAGGTGCCAAGTTCATAAATCAGATCATGGTCACCCACCAGAAGCATCCAATGGGAACTCAGGGCTGACACCAATGTGTAAAAATAGTGCCCTCGGACCGATGTCAAATCAGGTTCGTTGGAATGACTAAGCAACTCCAAGAAAAGAACCTGGAAATAATGGTGGAAAATTCCCTATTAAAGAGAAAAAGGGGATATAAGGAATAAGGGAATAAGCTCCACAATAGGTGGAAACCCCTCTGGGCACATAAGGCCATGCTTGTTGGACCCTACTTCAATGCCTGTGTTCATGAACTAGCCTCGGTTTTCTGTATCATACCAAAAGTACAATAAGTGTTACTCTACTCAACATTGTCTCTGCATGTTTCTTGACTCTTGAGTGTTTATTGAATTCTCTGAGCAAAACTAATATTGTTATTGAACTAAGTGTTGCAGAAGACCTGAAGATCCACTGGCCTCGTCTGAAGAGTTCTGCCATGACACAATCCTGTCTGCAAATGTTAGTATGTCATTAATAAAAGGTTGTGGATTTCTGACCATCAATTCTTTAGTTTAAGATGGTAATAAATCACTTAATAAAGTGGGTTTTGTACTTGGTAATAAGCCATCAGTTAAAGTGAGTCATTCACAAGTATACATGACAAGAAGTATACATAAAAGTATAAATGATAAGAATGAAGTCTTTAATAGTATTTTTTCTATCAAGTGTGTCGATATAAATGTTACTGAGTTAATAAATGGAATTGGTCCAGATGCTCTGCAACCCTTTTCCAGGGGATAAGTTGTCAAACAGCGGTTTGAATAAATGGCTTATGGCTGATCTATAAAGTGTTACTAAATCATCTAATTATTGAGGCAATTTGTTACAATCCAAATAAACTCTTTATAATGGGTGCCTTATTAGACAGTAATGCCCAATATTCTCAATAATATATGTTGGCCTGTACATTGAACTGCCTGTGTGCTGTCTGGGAGATACACTGTTCGCCAGGGCATGCTCGTGCACTGTGTTCATTCATGTACAGTATATTCAATTCGTGAACGCGCTTTTCTTATTCCGGGAGAATTACGTCATCGCACTACCCATGTTCTGCAGAAACTTGCAACTATAAAACCCAGAGCAGGCTGCTGCACAGTGCATTATTGTACGATTGTATGCAGGAAAAACAGTCTGAATATAGGCTGTAGGTTCCTTGGCCACGACATTGAGAGGGGAGGCTAAATTTTGAAAAAGAAGTAGCTAAAATAATCTTTGAAGACACTAGGTGCCTAATTTAACAGTGCTACCATAAAATAGCCTATTTAGAACTAGATATAGGCTACGTGCAATAAAACTTGTAAATCCCCACTGTCGCAAATGATTGAGAACGATTACTGTGATGAAAATGCTACGAAAATGCCACAAATAAAAATCTTACTGGTTTTGAAAAAAATTAAAAACTTAGAGCTAGGCTATTTAAAAGACACACAAAGAAAATGCACAACAACGTTTCAAATAAAAAGAAGGAGATAAAGAAAGAAAGAACGAGTTGCAGGAGGATTTGCTTTTGCAGTCCGTTATCTGTGGGGGCGGACCACTACAGGCGCGCACAGCACGGCGCGCATATCAGTCCTGGCGGCGCGACGGCAAATAGCCCCATTCTACATACTGACTGTTATTTAGAAGGTATTCTCCTCTATTCTACCGTCGGTTTGAACTGGTGATACCAGCACAAGTGTGATCCACAGCTCAGGTACCGCCATGGCTGCGCTGTCGGGAGGAGAGATGTGCATCAAATACCTGATGTTTGCCTTCAACCTGGTGTTCTGGGTGAGTTTGAAGCGAGAACATGTCTTGTTCTCATAGAAAAATGTACATCCTGTCTGTGTTTTACGCGTGTGAGCGTCGCGTGCATGCGTATTCGTGTGTGAGCAGGTTACTATTGGTAGTGAATGAAATTATTATGTGTCCCACATGCATAATTGTGGCGAGTACTCACATACTAGCCTAGGTTACTTATCACAGTTTATTCCGCCCCTCGAATGATTTTTGGCTCTGGCCACCACTAAACACAAAGTGCCCCAAAGCTTGTGGAGACTGAGCGGGGTGGAAGAATAATCCCCAGTGGCCAAGTGACCCAGTTCCATCGCGCAGACTACACTCTGGAGTTTGCGCGCACGGCATTTTAATAATTGCAATGGTTGGAAGGGGAGGGGAGGGGAGGGGGGCGCTTTATTGTGGTAGAGAATGTGACTGATATAATAATAATTAAGACTTCTGCTCCGTCACGTGACGTGAAGAGTTGCGCATGTCAGGGAGCCTGCCTGTGTATGTATGCGTGTGTGAATCCAGGATATCCCATATAGGCTATTCGTGTCCCACAAAGCCTGCAGGGTGTGTCTGTTTGTGATCTGTAGCCTATGTGTGTGGTTTCAGATGGATGTTTTGCCCTTTTATGAACATTTCTAATTTGTGCAGCTATAAATAAACCAACGATAACCATTCATTACAGGGCAGACAGGGATTTCCCACAGTGTATATGTGTTCATGGGAGAAAAGTGACCCTGAAAACTATCAATTTGAGATATTAAAAATACTAAAATATGTAGAAATTCACTGAGTTAATCATTTTTAGAAAGAGAATAAGGAATAAGATGACAATGAAATACAACAGTTTAAAGTCAATAAATAGCAAAGCCTGCTAGAACCTCAAATCCTCATGTAAGTGTAGATTTTCCACTTTTGAATTAGATTAAACAGGAACTGAATGACACACATCCTGTCCATGCAGCCACAAATCACATGACACACATATCTGATTACAGCTCAGTCTGGACACAACAAGAGTGCCCATGTCCGTGTGTTTTGTCAGTGAATTAACCTTGCACACAAACCTTGCTTTCAATAATAATGGACTCTGGGAGTAGGAATGTGAAGTAGTCATATTTAAGAGAAGCCTATTTTGTGACTATAGTAACACAGAGTTCAGACAGTGGAGCAGTAAATATCCTGCTAAGCAGGTTTTTTGGGAAATGTTTTATGTCAACGTGCCTGAACAGAGACCCTGGTCTGTGCTGCTGCCTCCCAGATCATAAAGCACTCTGTGCCCACATCATCTGCACACATGCGCTAGTTATAAACACACAAACAGTACATGTATGAACATGGCACAAAAGACAGGAATGAACACAGGTGGGAATTTATATCAGATACACAATGAACGTCAGTTTCTCAGGTAACACTACCTCTCTTGCCACTCCCTAACTGTGTGATCAGGTGATTGTATGAAGGTGTGGTATTGAAGGGAATTTACTTTCCCCGTTTTTTTTTGTTTTTTTTTATGACTTACACCATTATGCTTTTGCTTCCTCCTCAAAAGAAGTTGGTTATTAAACTCTCATAGTGGTACAGTGTGTAGACAAAATCAGAATGGCTGTCGCTGGGGGAATCAAGTGTGTGAAATATCTCATGTTTGTCTTCAACTTTTTCTTTTGGGTAAGTGTACTTTACTTTTTGTTGTGTGTTATTGCATGTTTTGTGTGTGTGCAAGTGTATGTGTGTGAGAGAGACAAGAGAGGTGGAAACGCTTCCTCAACTAGCATGTTTCTGGTTAGCTCTAAAAGACAGTGGAATATAAACAGAGATACACACACACACCTTTTGAATAAAAGGGCCATCTTTACGTAAGGCTCTCATAGTTAAAAATTCACTGACCTGTGTGTGCCGATAAGGCTTGTAAGTTAGTGCCTGTGCATGCATATTACACAATAAGGCACCATGCACGGAGATTTATAGTGTGAAGTACAGTTTTATGCTTGTCTGTTTGCAAACAGGCTGGTGTTGCAGAATATAATAACAGGAACTCATAACATACATACAGCTATATGTTGATGGATTCACGTTCAACTTTGTGTCAATATTAAATACATATGCTGATGAATAAGAGAATATGTGGAAATAAAAAAAGGAAAGGAACTTGTTTAAAGCCACTGCAGTATTAAGATAATACTGGTTATGGGTCCTCTTAACAGCTGCAGTTGTCTCTCTGCAATCTGTCCCTCCAGTCTTATCCTTATCAAGACTTGAATAACTCAGCGTAATTTGCAGTGGGTTTATTAGAAAAGTGATGGTGCAAAAGGAATGAACTGTGATGTATATAGATAAATACCATCGTTTCTTGTATTGATATGCAATAGAGCATATATAGCACGATAGACATTGCTGAGGAAGTATGGAAAGCATCTGTGGTGATTAGACACAGCAGGAAACAGCCAAGAAAAGAAAAGTTTTAAATACTGACAGCAGTGAGATAATTGTGGTAAAATAATAATCAGCTGATTAAGTTGAGAAGGGGAAAATATGCATTTATATGGAAGGGGAACACACATGAAAAGTATTCTTCCTGGTTGAACTTTTGCTGAGCAAACTTTTGACTACTGAAATAACTAACTGCAGTGCTTTAAGTGAAAATGTTTTTTGTTCTTGTCTCAGCTTGCAGGCACTGCTGTCTTTGCTATAGGTCTTTGGCTACGATTAGACCCCAAGACCAAAGGTCTTTTTGAAGGATCAGACTCTCCGTATGTGTTTTACACAGGTAAGATGCTCTAAGTCCTTGAGCAGGAACATTGTCTATTAACATTTAAGTAAAGTTTGTATGTAAAGTATTCTTGTATATATATGTGATATAAATATATATATTGTGTGTGTGTGTGTGTGTGTGTGTGTGTGTGTGTGTGTGTGTGTGTGTGTGTGTGTGTGTAGGTGTATATATCCTGATAGGAGCTGGAGCGCTGATGATGGTGGTGGGTTTTCTGGGATGTTGTGGGGCTATTCAGGAGTCCCCCTGTATGCTGGGACTGGTTCGTACCACTTTTTGTTTTTCTCACTTGTTGTTCTGTTCATTTCTATTCACAAAAATTTAGTAATTAGCCAAATTTAAACTCTTGAAAATCCTGTTTCTTTTTCTCTGAGTCATTTTTGTACTGATCTCACTCAGCAGCACTTGGACTTGTTGTCCCACTTTAGCAAGTGTGGATTGTAGACTGACCTTGGGCACACTAAGAAATATGAGATGTCTGCCTTCATCATTGTTTACTGAACGGTGTCAAGGCAAGAGAAGAGTCTCTGTACTTGTTCACTCCCTCCCTCCCTCTTAACCAGGCAGTCTGGCCCTAATCTTCTTGTACTAAATCTCTCAGGAGGCGGCGCCTATGTAAATTGGGTTCAGCTACACTCAAATGACCTTACATGTGCACACATGCATGCAAAGGACAAGCATGCGCACATGCACGCAAGAGTCACACATTAACACGATGAGCTGAGTTTAATGTTGTCTTTCCTCTGCACAGTTCTTCTTCTTCCTGCTTATCATATTTGCTATTGAGGTCGCAGCTGGAATCTGGGGATTTTCCAATCAAAGCAAGGTATCCTACAACTTTATAAGTATGTTCCATTGATAATTTTATTTGTATAGCACTTTTCAACAATGTGAGTGAAATACTGCTGCTGTGTGAAATACATGGAAATGTTGCTGTTGGCATTTAAAAGGCAGTATAAAGAAATGTTACTGCTTTAGTGATGCACATGAAATCATTCTTCCTTGCTGCTGTGTTACAGGTGGTGAATGACATCACAACATTCTACATGCAGACCTACAACAACTTCAAGGAAACAGGAGATGAGCGCCTTAGAGAAACACTGCGGGTGATTCAAACTGGGGTGAGCCATTTCTGTTCCATTTCTGCTTCATTCTGATTCAGACGTACTAATTCTAATTTGACTTCACTCAGATCTTACCTTAAGAATTTGACACAAAGGTATTTTCAAGTGAATGCAATGCATTCCCATGGGAACTTTTGCAAGGCATTTCAAAACTGTCCACAGCAAAGATATCCTTAATGTTTTTGACAAGTAGAAAGTGTAAATTCAACAAATTAACTTAAAGTAAAAGTTGAGATACACACCTATTTGTTTTTTTTTGAGAGAATTAGATGAGAAGATTGATACCACTCTCATCTCTCGTGTGTAAGGAGTGGAGGTGCTTAGCCTAGCTTAGCATAAAGTGCCTCCAAAAGTCAAGAACACACCTATCAGTTCTTCTCATGGTGGATATGCACGTAAACAGTAATGTAAAAAAAATAATTTGTTGCTTTAGGGGGGATCAAGTGCTGTAACTATTTCTTGATAAACAACAGCTTAGCTGCAGCCCATTGTGTCTGTGCAGCATTTCCACTGGTTGCCTGGCAACCTCACTGTCACCACAAGACATTGGAAACTAAAATCTGAACCAAAACATTGAACTATTCCTTTAACAGGAACACTTGTAGTAAGAGATATGTGTTTTCCTTCAGCAATTCGTCTTGTTCTCTAAATGTATGATTTTGTATGTTTATAGCTGAACTGCTGTGGTCCAACTGGTACTGTTGTAGATACTGCCAAAGACACCTGTCCCCAGGGAGAACCGCTTGAGGAGCTCATTACCAAGGTACAACTACCCTGAATGTGTGCACAGCTTCACTGAAGTACATGCCAACACAGGCAGGTACTTCAGTCAAGAGACAGACAGAAAAAAAAGTATTCAAAATGGAGACGAGCCACTGATCTAAAAGATGTCAGACATCCATAAGCTCTGTGAGAGCCACTTCAATTACTGTATGTCAAATACATAATGATGGTCTGACATGTGTCATGAGTCCATCAGTCTTCCCTTTGCAGACTAATTTCCTCAGCCTCCTTGCCATGTTACTATGGCAACAATGGTTTAATGGAGCCTGTATGCTCTCAGCCTGTTATATGTGCCATACCACATATAGCATAGGTTTATAGAGAAAGCTGAAAGGAATCATGCCTGTTTGTTGCAGAGTTGTCCCGATGCCATTGATGAAGTGTTTGACTCCAAGCTACACATCATAGGAGGAGTGGGCATCACAATCGGGGTTGTTATGGTAGGTCTGATTTGTGTGACTGTAATTCATCAAATTTCTTTCTGCTGCCCTGGAGGATGAACGCAGTGCAGACATGAGCTAATACAAACACAAGTAATATTATTTTTTCTCTCTCTTATAGGTGTTTGGGATGATCTTTAGCATGCTCCTGTGCTGCGCCATCAGGAAGTCTCGGGAGGTGGTGTGACACCCACCATCATACCCCAAAGTCCTTGTTAATGTTGCATGATGTCATTCCTAGAGTCAAAGACTCTCCACTGCCAATAGAAACACTGCTTGTTTAAGGGGGACAACCTAAGCAAGGCTGGGTGCAGATATTTCTGATTGTACATTATTCGTCAGTTCTAACTGTACTGTTGACACTTAGGCCCACGTTCCTGGACTAGATAGATGCGATGTGGTTATTAAGCCCAACTATAGAATGGGTGTCATCTGTGCTTCAGTGGCAATGTAGTACAGAAATGTGTAATTTGTGGTCATTTGATTGAAATTAGTGTTTGTGAACTGCTAATTATCTAAACAAAAGATCATATTATTGTATACTGATCACATTTCTATTGCTACCACTCGGGGTCACTTACTGGCAAGAAGAGTCATGGTCCAGGGCCATAAAAAAAGGCAACCACCACCACTTCAGCACAATACAGCAGTAGCCAATGAAATTCTTCAATTCATCTTTCTTACAACACTTAAGTCAAAACCATGGTGACTAGCTGAGCTGTGAACTGCGGTTTTTCACAGCTTGGTATTAAGAGTAGCATCTCGGTTCCTTCATTACAATGACATTTTGTTTATTCCTTTCCTTCCTTTCCCCATCACCTAAACTGCCCTTGTTTAAAACGCCTTTCATTTTTTGTCACATTTTGTAAATGTGTTTTTTTTTTAAATTGCAAAACATTTCTAATAGTAGATGATTAAATGGTATGTGTGGTTTGATTATCTATTTTATAATGTCCTTTTCATTTTACAGATACCATATGCACTATGTTTCACAGAGACAAAAATGAATGAGATCCAAATAAACCAAACTGTACTAAGTTGACTCTGAGAGTATTATACTATGGCATATAATCACTCAAGTACACACAGTGCAACAGTCATATTAGCTGAAATGTTTTATTAGGCCTGTTTTCAGCAGGTCACTAACTTAAGTTCATTAAGTATACAAAACAAATCATCAAAGTTAAATTGACCGTTTGGCGTGTTACATTAAGATATGTTAGACATTAGGGGCATGCTAGGGTTAGCAGGGTGTAGATGCCTTGATAAAACTGAAAACAATATTTAGGTTCGCTTCTGCGTGCACAGTGGAAAAATAACATCCCGAGCTTTCCCCTCTTTGATATTTGCAACCATCACATGTGACTCATGCAGCAACTATCAAGTGTGATTCATGTTGAGACACACTTCAAAACAGAAACAATGCCAAGAACTCTTCCCAGCACAATTCATTTATGGAAAATTTGTGTTCAAAACTAGTTTCACAGAGTGATTACCGTAAACAGTAAACACTTATGTATGGCAGTGACCCTAGTTAATGTCTAATGACTCACCATTTCCCTAAAAAGAGGTGAGAATAGACTTAGCACTCTCCTGATTACAGCACAAGGAAGTACACTTTGATTTGGTTGTTGACAGCCTTGTGATGCCATTCAGATACCCCACCCCCATTATGGAGATAACACTGATTATAAAAAGTAGGGTGTAAATTTGTGAGGAGATGTGTCCAGTGTGTATGCTTTTTATATAACAGAATGTTTACTGGCCAGAGGAAGAGGGCAGGAAAACTGAGATAAGGAGGAGAAATGTTAAAAAAAAGGAACCACAATGAGACGTTAAAAGGAAAGAGGCCAATATCAACACTTACTCCCTCACTTGCTTAAAATGATTTGATAACAACTGCACACTCTGTACGTTGTACAGATTAGTCCTTTTTTTTTTTTTTTTTACTGTTATTGCCAAACCTAGCCTTGCTTCATGACAGAATGGTACAGAACTACCTTAAAATTCTATTGGCCTATAAACAGCACCATACAACAGTACTGCCATGAAATGTAATTTTAGTATCTCTGTAGGAGTGCAGTGGACTTGCATTACAAATAAATGCATTACATATACAGTGTATTGCATTGGGACAAAGAAAAAATGCAATGGCCATACAAAAATGTCTGTAGCAGTCTGCAATAAAGTGCAAATTATTTCCTCCAACTTTTGATACCTGAGAAACTATGAAAAGAGAAAATATGTTTATGGGATACAATACAATCTCAGTCCTCAGCCTCATCCTCTGTGCCCTCCCAGGAAATGTTTGTGAGTCTGCGTGACTGTGTGTGCAAGGCTGTGTGTGTACACAGCACCGTGTCCACCCGGAGAAGACTTGTGACACACTGCAGGACGGCCAGAAGCAGCTCATATTTACAGGAGACAGATTCAAGGCCCAAGTCCAACATAAAAACTTTTGATGACATGTCAGCCTTTCTGCAACAATGCATACTTAGTTTACCATCCTTCAGAGGAATTTCACTAGTACCATGACCCTGTATGAGGCTTATGTTGTGTTCTTGTTTGTATAGGAGGTTGAAAGCGTGGGAATTATTAGGAATAAAACTCATGACCCTGGATTGAATCTGCAGGAAATGTCGCGGACTATGAGAGTAAATCTGCCGAGGCACACTCAGTAAAACATTTGCCAAGAGCTGGGAAACAGCAGGGATATTTGTGCTGTCAGAAACTGAGGAACTGCGGCCATGATGTAAGAGGGCATGATTTAAGAGAAACTCAAATGTCCCACCTGCAGGTATAACGCAGCTGGGCACCAGCACACGCTGCTGGAAGGAGTTGTAGGCGATTTTATTAGAGCGATCATCTGTATGTAAAGATGTGCTTCTCTGTGACTGTAAGGTCCTTTTTGATATTGTAGCTGCAGTCATACCCACGGGTTTGCAAGTTGTAAGGAGCATGCGGATGGCATCTTGAAACGCACAGGCATACTGGTCTGTTTGCCCTTCCCCTGGGCCACAAATGACCAGACTAGAGGGTCTGACCATAACCCTTTCCTCTAAATCATGGAAAGCCACATGGACATATCTGTGGAAGACAAAAATTCAGAGTTCAATTTTGATTTTCATGAATTAAACAATGAATGAATGAAGGAAACAAGTCAAAATCTTGTGATGTGTTCATGTGTATTTCTTTGCATACTATATGTATCTTTGTGACTCTATACATATATATGTATATATATGATTTATATATATGATTGAAAAAGAGCAACTTGCTATCATACCTATGGACTCCCAGTAGTATTGGACGGCAAAAGGTCAGAGTAGCAACATTCACTGGTTCAATGATCCAGCAGTCTGAAACAGGTGTTGTCCCACTTAGCTGGGCAAAGAGAGACAGCTCATCTTCACTGATACACTCCACAACCCACATCTCTGCCTGTGCAGCTAAAGCCATGACAGCAGCAGACTGTTTCACTGCAGACAGAAGCACAGAGACACCCAAACTTTGCAGATTTGCAATAACACATTCTAGTGACCTTTCTGACCACGCACTAAACTCCACAATACTTTTCTCCTTCCTTGAATTCTCCTCTATCATGTGGTTTCCACATCCCACCTCAAGCACATCTCCTGCACTGAACAATTGTGGCTGCAGGTACCCGGTGAAAACTACAGCTTTAACTGGCTGTTGGTCAGTCCGAGGGCAGGGCATAGCAAAGTCCCTGTGAATGACCTGCCCCTCAATCAAACGTGAACAGCTAATAGGGAAGCCTGATACAGGTGTATGCAGTGCAGGGAAGTTGTCATTTACAAACTGAAGTGCTAAAAAAGGTTGGTCCTTTTTAAACTTCAAATGCCTGAGTAGTTGACATGCTAGGTTGCTTATGTAGTCACAGTGGATTTGACCAAGACGAGTATGAAAGAATGATGCTAGCAGCTTTTGCACTCCATGATTGTTTGTATGAGCTGGTGATTGTGTTTCTGCAGTGAAACCTTCCCACAAATCACAGAATCCATAAGGGACCACTCCTATAGCAATGAGATCATCCATTTCCTCCAATGCAAATGCCAGCAGTTCGTCAGCCAAGCACCTGGCAGTGGCAGCCTCGGCTGCTTCCCTGGAGTTATAACTGTGAGACACATTAGGCTCCTTGCAGGCCATTGTATGAATCATCCGTAGCAATGACGCCAGCAGTAGGATAAAGGTCTTAGATCCATCGCCTGTTACAGTGCTATGCTTCCAGACACACTCCACTACCATCCTAAAATGAAGAACACGCAAATATAAATACAATATAAACACAAATTACACTTGATAAATATCATCATAGTGAAACAGTAAATGTCTGTGTGTTACCTAGCCAATGGATGCTCAAGTCGTAGTGCTGTGAGAATGCGTGTCCCGCTTCGGCTCAACATGGCCTGTCCTGTGTCTCTGGTGAACAGCACCTGTCCTCCCTCTGGGCCAAAACTGCGGAGGACGACTGCCTCCAGCCCACATACTGCCTGCAGGACATGCTTGAGGTGAAAATGCTCCACTGGCAGCATCCCCACACTCTGGAGGGCACATAGGCTGATTTAAAAGAGGCAAGGGAAGAAACACTTCTTTATACTATCAGTCACAAAGTCTTATCACTCACTCTTTGGATTCAGTATCACATGCAGTGCATATGCACATGCAGCTCATCATGTGAGAGGCAAACGAACTCAGCAGAGGTATTCAAATGTTATTGGCTCAAAACGTTCAAAAGTTTAGTATAAAAGTATAAAAAAATATATTAACTAGAACTGTATTTTTCATGATTTGATGCTAGACAGGTGTCTATTTAGGAGCTTTGCTTACATTTTAAGAGCCAGGTCCTCAGTTTTAGACATGCAGCACAATGAGAATGCATTACTAATAACAGATACTTGTTGCAGTAATATCAATTAACAGCAATATATATATATCTACTGTATACTAACTAACCAATGATAAATCATTTTTATCATACTGTAAATATATTATTGAGAATAGCATACATGTGGCAGACACACTTTATGTACGTTAAATAATTGCAATGTGTGACAGCAAATCTACAAATTAGCACAGACTTTGGCTCAAAATCTTGCAACTCTTGCAGTATTCAAGTACTGTGGTACACAGTCTTTACATTTTACTACAGTTGCGTATGGGTCATTGTTAACCAGTGAGTCGTCTGTAACTGCCCGATTGCTACTATCTGTGCGATATAATTATGCATAAACAACACCTACACCTGTAGAATCTGTACTGTACCGTTTTATAACATCAAGTCCATCAACTATGAATAGATCACTGGTGGAACAAGGAATTGTCCCGTTTCTACAAGTCCTGTCCGCGGAGATATACTTAAAAATATCAGTGCGTAACGTCACACTACTTGGCGAACTGCTAACCTAGCCTCCTACTAACACTAGCTACGTAGATAACGTTAGTGACTGCTAGCTAGGTAGCTAGCTAAACCAACACACTGAACTCGTCGGCGGTTGAAGGGAGCTTGATTTATAACAAACCTTATTACTGACTTAAACATATAGTCATAAAAACAAAGACAAACAGTCCTTTTCTAGATAACGTTTTAAATCTGAGATAACTTTTTTTTTTTAAATACAGTGTATGGAGAGAACTCACCATATGTCAGGCAGGAACGCTATCCGCTGTATCCTAGAGACGAGGCTTCCTCTGTGGTTTGTTGTTGAGATGTAATTTGTTTTATCGCCACCCAGCGTGTGGAGGTATAAATTGTTTTTCTAACTGTAAAACCAACCACTTTGTTTCACATTGTTCATACTGTATATGCACAAGTAAGGGTACAGGGCTTCTTCTTTGCGTTATATTTTTTCCTTTTAACATGTACATGTGAAAGTATTTCACAAGTTATTATGAACAATGAGCTAAAGGATATATGAGTTTCCCCTAGGGGATAAATAAAGTATCTATATATCTATCTATCTATCTATCTATCTATCTATCTATCTATCTATCTATCTATCTGTCTGTCTGTCTGTCTGTCTGTCTGTCTGTCTGTCTGTCTGTGATAATTGTGATGTAAATATGTGGCTACTGCATGTGAATATTATGTGACTGTGCCAGTCTGGATGTTCACATGAACAATTTGACTGTGGATGTCACACATAGGATAATTTGCAGCATACTGAATTTCATTTAAATGCTTGATTTCAGGGTTGTTGTGCTATTGTGTATGCCAGTGACACCAGATCACACAGCCATAGGTCAGCTATTAAAGTCTCGTACCAACACTGAACTGGGGAAGAGTGATGTCTGGTACTGTTCACCTTACTTCTGGAATAAACTGCAAAACATTATGATTGTTTTAAGGGCTGTCCTGATGTGATGTTGTATGTAATTTGTTCTCATGTATTTCTTGTAAAAGAGATATATATCTCAAGGTGACCTCCTCAATCAATAAGTAAAGCTTAATTTACTACAGACATAAATGTGCAAAGGCCAAAAATTGGGATTTCCATCATGTCAGTTCAATATTTCAACATGGACTTAAGTCAACTGGCCTCCACTGTAACAAAAATAACAAAATTACACAACGAGTGATAATCGCATCTGATCTAAATTGTTTGTCCTGAGCAAAATAAATACATAGAGTGTATATTTCTATATGTTACAAACTGAGGTTCTGTCAAGCTCCCTCTTTCCTTGCCCATCCTCCCGCCCCCTCTCTGTCCCTCCTTCTGTACAGTATGTCTGCGTCTCTGGTACCTCAAGGTGAATGGGGTGGGGCAGGAACTTGATCTCTGTGTTGCTGCAGAAACCACATCCTAAGTTTCTAAATCAGGCAACATCATCTATACATAGACAATATGAGACAGTTCTGCGGCTGCTGCCAGATGTACAGATGCACGCGCACCAACACACACACACACACACACAGAGCTGTCCACTCTGAATGTAAATGTCCTCTATTGCTGAACTCTCAGTATGCTAACGAGCCTTTAAAAAGCCATGTCACTACACTAATGAATATACATCAGTGGCCCGGTGAGGGTGACCTGTAGGGACGGGACAGAGGTCACAAAAGGTGGGGCGTCAGAAATAAGGACCAGTGGTCCCATGAGACCTGAATGGACAGAAAATCACACATTCACTCGGACACACAACACACATATACACATATACACACACACACACACACACACACACACACACACACACACACACACACACACACACACACACACAACACAAGGGAAGCAACACAAGATGACCGAGCTGCAGTTCCACCTATCCCAACCCCAACTCTATCTTGTCCTACCCTCCCTCTCTTTCCCTCTCTCTTGATCCAGCTTTCACACACCTGCTCCACTCTTGTTGATGTCTAAGAGCTGGTGAGACACAAAAACAAAAGGGCAATGCGTTGACACTTAGCATACCTCACTGTTTTCCTCCACCTCTCTGGTTCTGACATTTTTTTCTCCTCCTCCTCCTCCTCCTCCTCCTCTTCCCTCTGTAGGGAAAAGGAGTACCTGTGAGTGTGAACACTGCTGCTGAGACGACTGAATACAGGTATGTGTCTGATTCCATTTTTCCTCTTTGTTTCATTCATCAGATCAACTTTATTATTTCTCTCTTGAATGTTAACTTGAATGCTAACTGTATATAAACCCATGGATGCACAAAAGATGAATACTATTAATCAGGTCTGTCCTGGTCATTCTGTTGTTTACTGGACACAGACTCTGGTACAAAAACACAATCACCAAGGGTAATTTGTTAATTTGCAACTCCAGTTTCAATGATTTTCTTCTGTCTTCTCTGAAAGATTACATGGTCCTCTGATGTCAAGCCAAAAACAAGATTGTTTTTTCTAACTATTTCATTTTGGAGATACAGAGCTTTCATCTTCCAGCGATCTTACATTTTATATAGTGTAATGAATGTGAAAACTTGTTAGGTCAGGTGTAAAAAGAGTTTTAGTTGAATTAACAACTGAAGCTGAGGAACCATATGGTGCGACTATTGAGTCATTTGTCATCACCTCTGCAGCAAAAATGAGAGAAAGATGACCATTTAATATATAAAAATATAAAAGCTGTGAATTATTCATTACATTAACAGTTGGTAACACAAAAGCGCATCAGAATCAGAAATATAGCTTAAAATACATAATAACACAATCCGTATCAGACAGCTGTAACATGTGAGACCTGCTGTTCAGTTCTGGCATCACTATCCATCCCTTTGGATGTACCTTGAATTTTTCTGTTTGTCCCTGCGGCTGTTAGTGCAGTATATCGGTGGTGGCTTCTGTTTAAGCTCCTGTTTTTTCAGAAAAAATAGTCAAGTATCCTAAAAAAAAAAAAAAAAAAAAAAAAAAAAAAAAAAAAAAAGCAGACATAACAGTTGTCTGGGTTTAGGTCAGTGTCAGCTTGGGTGTGAGATCACATCTGCTGATTCAGCCCCAGACACTCAATACCTGTGATGTCTGCAGAACAGAAAATAACATATCAAAACATTATTTCACTTGCGTGTCAAGTCTTGGCTTGGCTGACAATTTTTTCTCATATAGTTTATTAACCTGCTCTGAGCATGACCTTGGCACATGATTATTACCTTTGGCAGCTCACTGTGGAACAGCAGAGATCCATGCATGACACCTCAACTCTACTTCTCCCCATCCTCTCCTCCGTCCCTCTCTCCTCCATGTCAGCAGGTTTGGCAGTGACAGCAGTTTGCATATCCTGTGTTCAAGTGTTAGTGCCAGACCAGCAGAAACAGGACACGTCATTTGACTCTGATGGTCATACCATGTCTATAAGCACATTATTACTTCAAATACATCAATCAAAAGCATTTATGGATACTCTGCTCTGGTGTTAATGTGTGTTTATGTAGTTAGTTTAGGTTCCCCAGTTTAGATTTTTAGAGCCCCATTTGGAGGGTGTTTACAGGTATGTCCGTTTCTGTTTTGCTGAAGTATAATGTTCTATATATTCATATATTCCACATGTTGTGTTTTTTTTTTGGACTGAGCCATCTTTCTGTTCTGTTTCTCAGCCCGTTAATTCTGGATCCTGTGTCAATCAACAAATAATGACTGGGAGCCACCGAGCTGCCCCGGCTGCACTGGGTACCCCAGCTTTCCCAACCCTCTTGCCAAATGCAACATTCACTCCAGGCCAAAAACAATCTGGTGGCCAAAGTCCCAACAAGTTCATGAGTGAACTACGCAGCATCCACAGTGAGTTAGACACCTGACTAAACGTTCATCGCCATGGATTAACATTAACAATGTCGATAAATATTTGGGAAACATATCCAAGACCCAGAGCCAGAAGATAATTTAGATATAATCCTGGAGGTTTTGGTAAAGCAGATGAGACAGTAAAGTGGTAATATGGAGAGAATAACACTGCTGTAGCTCTTGTGAAAAGAATATGAATAACATAGCAACAAAGCAACTCATACAATGTCAAAAGAGATCTGAAGTATCAATGATTCTTTACAGTAACATGTTGGAAATACTGGACTGAGGGTGCTGAACTGAATGCACTGTGGGCCTGGCCCAGAATTCAAAGCTTTTTGAAGATTTACAGTAAGATTACAGAGTACAGATATCTCAGGTATACATATTTCATTCTCTCCCTAAGTGTATTTTTGAAAGAGTATTATCTGTGTTTTCTCAACTATTCGATGACTGATCCTAGACAGCTAAAATGATTGAATGTGAAATTATCCTTTGGAAGTAAAAGATGCTGGGAGTGTCTTATATCCAGGAACATGTGACTGAAGGGTGAAGGGTCACACTGCATATGAAAAGGCCAGACAAGTATTTGCTCATATGGGACAGGTGATGTTTAAAAATGCTTACAGGTAAAGTTACCTCCCCCGTAGAAGTGCATTATCTGTTTGTTATTCCTTTAATTCCCTTCCGTTTGATCAGACATGCTAGACTTCTATATGCATGTTGCTTGTAATGCAATGTGCATTTATGTCAGAACATCTAAATTGCAAGTTGTACAAAATGTAAAATCCTGGATTTGATATGTATGTCACTTGATATGAGGCATATATCACTTCAATGACATTTTAGAACCGGCAGAATAAACAGGAGATGAAAAAGATAACATCTTACAATATACTGATATCCAGTGTAACACCACCACAAAATATAGCCTAAAAAATGACCACAGATTTGAATCAGCATCTCTCTGACAACAGCATTGACTCTACTACAGGAGTGCTGGATTGGATTGCATTACATTTTCCAGTGTTCCTGATATTTTACAGTGTGGAAAAATGGTTTTGTCTTACTTCTTACTAAGAGCTAGTCAACGGGAAATACAGGGGTAACATTTTGAACACTGAGTTCAAGTGGCTAACTAAGAATGTATGTATATTAATCATGTATCATCTATGTGTGTGCGTGTTTTATGTGGATTTGCAGTGCCATCGTGGGCTGTTGCTGCCCTTAGTATCGTCGGTTTGTGTGTGGTGCTGTCGTGTGCTGTGTGTGTATGGAAGAAGTGCTTTAAAAAGAAGGACAAGGACAAAGAAAAGGACAAGAAAAAGGGAAAAGAGAAGAATAAGGGAGGTTTTGACACTGAAATGGATGGAAGTTACAACGAGGTAAGCCATACACACACACACACACACACACACACACGCACGCACGCACACACACAGTCTCCCCCTGCAGATGTATTGTCCTTCCAATGTATCATAGTGCGGACATTCGGGTCACTACGGCCTAGTAAAACTGTCAGTGTGTGTTAAGACTAATGGATGTTTTGCACATCGCCCATGTTGTGGTGTAGGTTGAGGTCTGAGATTAGTGGACTTGGAGTGTCTTCAAGGATACAAGTTGCATTTAAACACACTGATGGTGTAAAATTTGCCCGTCCCCTTTAAACAATGAATAAACCTTAGATGCTTACATTATCTTTGTTTAATTGCCTCTGCCTGTGTGATGCAACACAATACACTGTAGCAGCACAACTCAAATAGGTGCTCCACGAGTTGTGAAACAGAAGGTTTTCATTGATTACTTGCAAAGCTATATTTTTTTTACCTGCATTTGATGTGTGTATGTGTGTCTGTGTGTGTGCAGCCGCTGAAAGATGAAGGTAACAAAGAAACAGAGCTGTCAGATAATGAGCCAAAGGAGGAGGAGAAGCTGGGCAGACTACATTTCACATTAGACTACAACTTCACAGATAATACGGTAAAATGCTGCTATTCCCTTTTGACATTTTTGCCCACTATCTGCCAACTCTAAAATGTCACATTTTAATATGTTTCTTCCCACTGTCAATTAGCCAGATTCTCATTTCTTTCCTGTGTTATCCAATTTTAGCTGGTAGTGGGCATCTTGCAGGCTGCAGAGCTTCCTGCCATGGATGTGGGAGGTAGCTCTGACCCTTATGTTAAACTCTATCTGCTCCCGGACAAAAAGAAAAAGTTTGAGACCAAAGTTCATAGGAAGACCCTCGAACCCAACTTCAATGAGACGTTCACGTTTAAGGTAAATTAAAACACCAAGATAAATAAAAATGTAAGTTATTTATCCTGATTGTGTTCACTATTGGAAAATGATACATGATATGTTTCAAATTACGGTCTTTCATGTGTGTTCTGTTCTATAGGTACCATATACTGAGCTGGGCGGGAAGACACTGGTGATGACTGTATATGACTTCGACCGTTTTTCAAAGCACGATGCCATAGGAGCTGTGAAGATACCGATGAGCAGTGTGGACTTCAGCCAGTCTCTGCAGGAGTGGAAGGACCTGCAGAAGGCAGAGAAGGAGGAGGTGGGAGCACACTGTGAGAGGAGGAGCTGAACTTGAAAAAAAAGGATTGCTTTTAGGCTTTCCAAAACTGTTATTACATCTTTCTTTTTTTTTATTATTTGTTTCATTTTATTCCATGATGTGTTTGTGTTTTGTATGTTAGGGAACAAGGTTACTGACGCTCAATGTTTCTTCATTTCAAAGCAAAGAATACAGATTGTTTTCAAAGCACCTCAGTCTCTGAGGAAGACTGTAGCTTCTTGTGATTTTAAAATAAACTTTTACAATTTAATAATAAATCCATACAACAACATACTAATAAATACACATATTTTTTGCTTTATCAGAGTGAGCGGCTTGGAGACATATGTTTGTCCTTGAGATATGTGCCTACTGCAGGGAAGCTGACAGTGGTGATTCTGGAGGCCAAAAACCTGAAGAAAATGGATGTGGGTGGATTATCAGGTGAGTGAAGCAGTAAAAAAGTCTGAATTCACGTTGTGTTTAAATTCCAGCTTCATGTCAAATTTTTACTAAAGTGCTGGATAATTTTAAATATAGACAACTTCAGTGCCATAATAAAGTAAATGCTTTAAATAATTTTGAACTCTTCTAATAACAATACATACAAACATTTCTCAGAAAGTTTTATAATATGACTAGGTACACCATAAATAGCCCAGATTAGATCTAACTGAGCATTGAGGCCTTTTAATTACTTTTTTAGTGTTCTCCTCTTTCAAGTAGTTTCTATTTATGGGAAGCTATCAAAGCTCCTACAAAGGATGTTGTGTTTCACTGATGGAGTTACTGCATCAGTGCCAAGCTGCTAGTCTGTTGCTCTAACATGAAACCTCCCTGTTCTCTCTATCAGACCCTTATGTGAAGATCCACTTAATGCAGAATGGGAAAAGACTCAAGAAAAAGAAAACAACGATAAAGAAGAACACTTTGAACCCTTACTACAATGAGTCTTTCAGCTTTGAAGTGCCATGTGAACAGATAGAGGTACAGATATTTGTACACACAGATTTATACACGCAAATAAAATCCATGAGATATTCATTTTTTGTATATGTTATTTTCATTTATAGAAGGTGCAGGTAGCAGTGACTGTGTTGGACTATGATAAGATTGGGAAGAATGACGCCATAGGGAAGGTGCTGCTGGGCAGTAACAGCACTGGGACTGAGCAACGCCACTGGTCAGACATGCTGGCAAACCCTCGGCGGCCGATAGCCCAATGGCATAGCCTCCAGCCAGAGGATGAAGTCAACGCACTAATTTCCAACAAGAAATGAAACTGTGACCCCAGTGGGCTATGAAACATTGCAGCATTTACCTCAGCTATTTCCAATTTATGTTTGTACTTCTGCCCTAATTCCCCTTAAAAACTTTTGAGCTACTTAACTGAGTAAATGTACCCAATGATACCCTGTTTTACCCTTGATACTATCTGAGTCACTATTTCAAATTTAAAGCCTTCCTTCAGTAATTCCCTACTGCTTCTACCTAAACTGCTATGAAGAGTTTTCAGCAAAGATGTATCACTCGGTACAGTGCTATTAAACCAGATGAGATTTTTTAAAAACCTTTGTATGTTTTTCTTACCTGTTCTGAGCTGTTTGAAAACATTCACACTACACCTAATGTAGACCTGCAGAGGGAGTCAATCAAAAGGATAATGAAATATGAGCCTCATATGATCATCGAATAGAAATCACAAAAGCCAAGAAAGTACACTGATTATGGTGTTGGAGTACAGCCTAGAATGAGAGGAATGGAAAATATTTTGGCATCATAATTTATGGACAGGTTTCTCTGCAGCATCACATCCAAAATGGCAGAACAGGCCAGAATCACAACAAGAATACAACTACATTACATCATATGGTGGGGTGTGGCTTAGGCATTAGGCCCCAATGATATTGACGCAACCACCCACCCACCCATTCACACTCAAAGTGATTGTGAATTCATATACAATAAGAGTGGGCGTGACTTGCTCTTTATTCTATATTTGAGGAAAAAAACCATAAAATTACGTGTTAAATAAGAATCATTTAAGTGGGCCATTTTCGGTAAATAGTTAAAAGACCATGCTTAATATCTTAAAGGTATTCTAAAGGTTGTGTCACCGCCACTGGATAGCACACTACACCACCAGCATCTCAGACCAAAACAAATGCTTTGTTGGCCACAAGCCAGCTTAAGTCTCTCAGTCCACAATGCACTATGAAGCCCAGTGAAAGCGGCCGCCAAACAAACAAGAAGCACAACAGAACAAAGTTACCCTGTCACAATCTAGCCACAACCATTAGCCCACGCTAGCACTGTCGTGATATCCTCCACAGCAACGCTAGCAGTAACCCAGCTAGCGATAGTAACATTTGCCAAGCAAATTCGTAATATGAGTAACAGCAAGTTGGCTAATGTTATTCACTAATGTAAACAGCCATGTAAACATTGTGTAGCCATGAAGTTACTTACGCATCGAGGAGAAGAAAAGCCAGTTCCAAGTCAAGCTGGAGCCCTTTAGCAGCTGGTAGAGCTCTCCATCTTGGTCCAGCCAGACCAAACGTTCAACAGGAGGGACTCACATGCACGAACATGCATGTACCTGCAGTAACGTCCGTGCGCTGCCAGACTGACTATCAAAGAAAGAAAGATTACAACCACAGACTGCATTACAACACATCAGCGGTAGTGTGACTTCGTTCTCTGCTCAGGACTCCATTAACCCACTATATCTTTAATCGTTTTTTATTTACATTACAAGCTATATTAAGCTAGCTTACTTGCTCCTTGTACAAAGATGAACATTGTGCTAAACCAGCTAGCTTAGTTGTTTACATTAACTTTAAAATGGCTAACGTTAGACGCAGCATCAACTTACTGGCCTTATTTTACAGTGTTTTAGTTTTTCCTATATATGTTTTCTTTTTTTCTTTTTTTTAACAGTACATTATGTGGTTTTGTGTCTGGTGGCACATGAATTATCGGTTAGCTTTATGTCTGGTTGATGTCTCAAGAACCGTTGACACTGTTGAGAGGCTGCTGATAAACTTATCTTTTAGTTATCTAACTTGTACTAGCAATGAGCAGTCTGGAGTGAACTTCCCAGCCCTCTGTTTGGCTCATGAGCTTCGCCATTTACCTCTGCCTGTGTTTATCTACTTCAAGTGTCCCACCCAGGTCATGTGGTCAGCCAGAAATTTTACGGTAACACTACAGGTGAAAACCTCCGTGATGGAGCAACAGACCTGCGGGCTCACAAACACACATAGAGACCACAGGGGTGAACAGCCAAGCCTGCACGCTGACTGAGGATGTTGGAGTGACAGAGAGCAGTGCAGGCTTACCTGGTTACACAGGTGTAGGCTATTCGTCATCTGCTCAGGGGGGCTGTCGCCACCAGGTAGGTTTTACAGATACAACCAGCCATCGTCCCGGTGCTGCCAAACATACCTAAATCCTTTCCTCTCGGGACCACTGAGATGCACCGTTAACGTTTCAGCGGGACATCCTCGGACTCTGAGATGAACTTAAAGTGGACAGTGAAACGATTTCTTCTCATGTCGTTTTCAATCTCCCACTTGCTGCTACTTGAGGGTGAGTCCGACAGTTTTAGTTATCCAAAATGTTACATTAGTGTAATAAAGTTGCCTACAGATATGGATGTGAACTACATTTATAAACATGGAGGGATATTAACAGGTTTAACATTGGTAGTAAAGAATATTTATATTATAAAGTCATAATACCCTTGAAGCATCAAGTATATTATAGGATTTAAGTGTCCTGCTTATCTCTTCTATTATCTATTATAGGTCAGAGATAATTTGGTTTCAGAAATATAAAAAATCATATATTGTAGAAAAATGCACTCCCTTATTTCTTCAGGACATGCCCTAACATTGCATATAACTGCTCAATAATTACAAATGACTCATGTGAATTACTAAAATGTTTCTGATCTGACACTATAGCTATAAAAATGGTTTTATAATAGATAATTGATATCTACATTGACTGGTTAACAACTTAATGTTAATTGTACTAACTTTGTATTTAGGAGCTCAGAGCCGACTATCAGTGGCAGAGGGAAGACTACAGAGGTAAATTCAAGGAAAAAATGGAATGATTGATTTTCTGTCGTTAATAGTGTGGCCAAAATATAAGTAATATTGTGTTAAAAAAAAAACTATGTTTTTTTTCACAAATAATCTCACAAAATTTTATAGGTTGACAGTGATGATTGCATTTGCACTTTCTGTTTGTGTCACTAGAGCGTGTGACAGAGACAGCATATGAGTGTGTGTGTGTGTGTGTGTGTGTGTGTGTGTGCGTGCGTGCGTGCGTATGTGCACTTGTGTGTGTGAGGGTTCAGTAAAGAGTAGTTTGATTGAATTCAAGTGGTGTAAAGTGCACTTAAGTCTCCCCTCTGACTGTTTTTTCCCACTAATGTGCATGTTTGTGTGTGTGCAGAAGGGCTAATGCACTTCGGAGGAAACGGGATCTCCTCGGGGAGGAGGTTGGTACACTACACCTAAGAGAACCAGACGAGGTCAGGGCACCCACATGCGCACAACACCCTAACCGGCACAAAGCTGTCTTTGTAAAGAATGAAACACACTCACTAACTCATACAGTTTCTCCCACTCAACCTGATGCAACTTTTAACTTACAGCAGCAGGTACACCAACCGTACAGCACTCTATCACTGATGCCATTAAGGCTTTAGAAGCATTTGAGGAACTGCTCTAAGTGTTCATTGTTTTCCAAGACCTACAGACCACTGCTATCGGAGGGTTCTCTGTCACGCAGCATTTTACACAACTACACAGCCAGAGATGCTTCTTCAGGTAAATCCACTACATATGAAGTGATCCCAAATGCATTCATAGAAGCTTAGAACTATCAGATTGGCTGGGAAAAGTCAACTTGAATTTCTTCACGTCTCTCCCAGAATATTGCGGCTGCCTCAATGGTGGCTGGTGTCAGGAGGGCGGTGTGTGTGACTGTGCTCAGTTCCAGGCACTGGGAGACCGCTGCCAGATCAGTGAGTAATACAAACACATCTACATATCTTCCTTTGGCGTCAGCTCAGATTTACAATAAAAACCTTCACAGAGCAACCCTATGGTTGACTTACAGGCATGATTCCTGGTATGCAATAGACTAGCTGGTTAGCATGCTCACAACTTTTTAATAACAGTTACACACTATCTAGCTATACAACAATGACTGTGTGTAGGAGATTGTTCGTGTGTGCGCATCATACTCTCCGATCATTCAGCAAACGTTAATTACCTGCACACACTCCAGCATTAATCATCAGACTTCCCCAGATCTATTTCTCTTCCTCTCTCTATCTCTCTTTGTTGAAATAAATCCAAAACTCTCCAATTCCACCCCCACCCCCCACCCCCACGCGCACACACTTTACTCAGATATAGGAGCAGATATAAAATCACTTGAACTAAGGTAATAGGCTAAGGGCTGAGTGATGGAGTTTCTGGTTTCTATATTCTGAACAAAGTCCTTATACAGTATATCAAGAGATCTGAGGTCACATTTATTGTAAAGACATTTTTAATTTCAACGAACTAATTAAGTGTTGACGCATGTTGGAAAGAATAGTTCCTGAGGGGCCTCTAACTGAACTTAAGCTTGAAAGGAAATCCTGAGATTGACTATGTACATTGTTTATCATACTCAAGAAAACAAAGATAGTGTGAAATGGGCCATACCAACAAGGTTTCTCCAAAAAAAAGACCATAAAAGCTTCATTGAAGACAAATTATCAAGACTCCCAGCTGTAATGCAAAAGTTGAAAATCAGGGTAATGGACCTGATGCCACAGAACACACATTTTCAAAATATTAAATAACACTGGAAATATTTAGTTAATTTAAATGTTGGTATTTTGTAATCAACATATGTACAATGTCATTTACAAAATGTATCCTTTTGGATTACCATTAGCATGACAAACCACTCTCTGATAAGATTAGACTGATGTGAAGATGTGATTCACCAGCCTCCACCCCCTCAGAGTTCGAGAAGGGTCTTAGGCAGCATCTTGGCATAACCAGCTCTGGGAATTTCCTGTAACAAAGGGCTTTTTAGAAAATTCCGGTATTCATTTTCCGCTTGTAAGTTCAATGATGAAAGATATAAAGGTAATAAAAGAGATACAGTTTATGACTTGCTCTCTTAGTTTAGTAAAATGTCAATTTCTGCTGAAATTCGTTTGTGTCACCACATGAAACTGATTCACTCCATCATTTCAAGAATCTTCTGAGTGCATTGCCCACTTTCCTCTCAGTACCTAACCAGGGCCAGGATAGAGACGGGATCTGCAGATCCTGGGGTCAGCACCACTATGAAACATTTGACGGAATATACTTCTACTTCCCTGGTACCTGCTCTTACGTTCTGGCCCAGGACTGCCACTCAGCTACACCACAGTACACGGTGTGGGTAAGAGCATACTGATTTAAAATTACCCTTTGAAATATTTAACCAGTATGTAACACTTAGGCATACACTGTATTGTGGCTCGGAATGCATGTTCTTTTACAGCAACACCAAGGTTCCATTTAAACTAAAATAATACACTGAATCATGTAAAGCAGTTCAATACAGTGTTATTGAACTACTTAAACCAACCAAAATACTTTAACAAACAGGAGTTATATAAGGGGGGCGTAACAGTAGGTTGCAACCCCCTATAAACTGCAATTGTCATATTCATTTGTTTAGTTTCACATTGTCTGCATTTGGAATGCAGTATGTTCCTCCAGAAGACTTTGGGCATTTTTATTTTTTCTGAGCTATCTCACGTAGCTTTTAAAACTCAAACTAAACAGCAACAACCAATTGTGCAAGATCTCATTGAAAGGAAAAGTTTGGTGATATTTTTTATTGTTTACAGATCATATGAAAAAAACAAATCAAACAATGAATCTGTCCTGCTAGACTTATGTCTTGAGTTGAAGCAAATGGGTTTGGGGCTATTGACAGTCAGTTGAAATGAAAAGTATAGTATATTAGCCTTATATGCAACTTGTGCAACTTGTGATTAAATTGCTTAATATCTAAGGTCCCCTATTCCTTGTATCTTCTGACATAAATTGTTTGATAATCATAGCCTAAATTAAGTAAATTAAGTTGTTGCAGCAATTCAGATGGCACACCACAACGACCATTTGTGGCTGTTGCTGGAAGTGTCATCACCAAACAGGTGCCTGTATTTTTAGATTGCTAGCTCAGGTTACAGATTGTGGTTAATCGAACCTTCGACCCTTTCTTTAATTCTCTACCATTATCTTGTTTTCTCAGGTCCACAACAGCAGAGTGTGTGACGGGAGTGTGTATTCATGCCCAAGAGCTCTCAGCCTGTTCTTTCCAAATGAGGAGGAGATCCACATCTCTGGCTATCAGGTCCACCAGGGAGGCCGCAGGTGTGTGTGTGTGTGTTTGTTCCGCAAAGATGTAGAACAAAAATCGCAGAGATAGATTTTGAAATTTTTCGATAAAAACAACTCGCTAGAAAACTCTAAGAACAGAGAAAAAACAACTCAGTTAATCACCATCCTGTCCTGACCAGAAAGTCACAATAGAACATTATTATCATGCTTTTCAAAGAGGTCACTTTCCCTGATTTCTTTTAATGTGTCTATCTGTGAAATATCAGGCTAAGTCTGCCTCAGACTGTAGGAGGTGTGTTTATTGAGCGACTGGCCGATTACCTACTGGTGAAGAGTGTGTTTGGCTTTTCTTTGGCCTGGGACGGAGGTTCTGGTGTCTACCTGAAGATGAGCGAGGAGCACCAGGGTGCCCCCTGTGGTCTGTGTGGGAACTTTAACCATGTTGCTGGCGATGACCTCACCACAGCTCGTGGTAAGACCGGCCTGACCGGCCCCTCATCCTCTTATCCATTCTCTCAGCACCCACTCACCTCAATTATTATTATTATACGCTCAACACTGATTCAGACCAATTATAGTAGCAGTGGGACTTGGAGAGACCACAGAGGGAGGACAGTGGAGAACTGATAGTGTGGGTTTGAATGGCTGGAAGGAGCAAGAATCCTTCCTCAGATGACCAGAAATATGAACTGCGGTCCCCTGCTTGTTAGAGCAGAGAGCTGTCCAGTAGAGTTTGGATGAGCTCAGAGAAAGAGAGTAAACAAGTGGAAAGACTCTGGCTGAAGAGCTGCAATCGACTAGGTTTCATGGCACATTTACAAACACAAAGTTTAAATCAGATTTCCTCTCTTAATATCCTTTTTTTTTTAAATCAGACTTTTATTTTATGTTTGGTGTAAGTGTGTTTGGTGACAATAAAGAGGCAGAAATGCATGTGTGCATGTTTGAATGGTGTATCAACTCCATCTTTAGCCTGTGTATGTGCTAAACCATGCATTTTATCTGTTTCTGGTGGTTTTCGTCTGGGCATATGTGCTAGGTGTCCCTACATCCTTAATATGTGTTGACGGTGTGTTTTAGGCATTCGTACTGATGAATCTGCAGTGTTTGCCAACAGCTGGGCAGTGGATTTGCCTCATGAGAGAGCTTGTCCCTCGGTTGATCTTGACTTCAATGGACCCTGCCAGTCTGAGTCAGACATGGATGTAAGAACCACAGAAACACTCACTCCACTCATTATTACTATTGGCATATACTCCAGCTGAATATTGATTGTGTGATTCACATACTGCAAAGGATGGAATGTAATTAGGCCCATCACATTACACATTACACATAAACAATTTTATTTTTAACTCAGGGAGAACCAGACTGTTCATTGTATGTTAAAAGACTGCAACAGTATTTGGTTTGCTGTGTCTCTTATTATGTCATGTGCTCTGTATTCATACCATACTGTATTTATTGTGAATGTGTGCAGGATGCCATAGAGAAATGCAGTGCGCTTCTCTTCTTCCCGTTTCTGTCATGTCATGAAAACATTGATCCAAATCCCTTTGTGGCCAGCTGTGTGTCTGACCTCTGTGTGTAAGTCAAAACGCTTCCATTGCTTATTGTTACTTGTTCATCCTTTTCTCTGTGTTGTTAGTGTAACTTGAGTTACAGTAATAAAACTTTTTGTATAGAAACCAAGTCTCAAAAAAACATTTCATAAAAGGTTTTTTGTTTTTTTTTCTTTTCTCTTTGTTTAAGATCTGATGATGAGGAAACGTTTTGTCGAGCCTTGGTTGAGTACACCCGAGCCTGCTCACATGTTGGATATCCAGTGAGGGAGTGGAGGGACAGCTTCCCTTCTTGTAGTAAGTTACCATTGCAGCTCTTGACATTTGAAAAATGGAAGATCAGTGCAAATGTTGTGTCCTAATGTATTTTGTGTATTTTTTAAAACGCAGGCTTTATTCTTACAAAACCATTTACCATCAACAAAAATATGAATTAATTTCAGAGCTAATTTAGTCCAGGATTAGCTCTGCTCTCTCTGTGAAAACAGATTAGTTATTTCATACATATATATTGTGTAAATTATTTATTTTATCCTCTGTAATCTGCCTTTGTGTGTGTTTGTGTATGTATGTAGATGATGGCTGTGAGGAGAGTTTTGTTTATAGAGACTGTATCAGTTGCTGTCCGCCCACCTGTACATTTGAGAAAGAGTGTCTGGGAACCAACCTGCATTGTCTGGATGGTTGCTACTGCCCTGATGGTATTCAAACAAAACTTTCCTAATTTCTGTTCTCTGCTCTCTGTTAATTGACCTTGAATTTACTCTTGTTTTCCAATCCTCTTTCCCACAGGTCTTATCCTACAGAATGGAACATGTATCGCTGTTTCTCAGTGTCCATGTGTTTACCATGGAACATCATATGTGCAAGGACATGTGCTTCAACAGGGCTGCAGTGTCTGGTGAGTCTGGATGTGTATTCCCAGTGAGCATATAGCTTGGTCAATGTGCTGCTAACCTAGGGTGCTCCTCTTTTTTAGTGTGTGCATGGGAGGAATGTGGAACTGCACTGAGAACAACTGCACAGGTAAGATTATCCTTTAATACCATTTAGAAACAAAAGATGAAGAAGTGGATTCAGATTCAATAAGTCGCCACTCTCTGTCTCCTCTTAGCGGAGTGCTCGGTGGTGGGGGATGTGTTTGTGACAACATTTGATGGTAGGATGTTTCTCCAGGCAGGGGCGTGTCATTACGTCCTGGCAAAGAGCCGCAGCGGTAGCAGATTCACTATCACACTGCAGTATACTACCTGTGCAGAGGTATTGTGACTATGGCTTACACACACACACCAACCTTGCAGTATCCTACAAATATGTAACCAGCCCTCCTGTATGGTACGTGTGTCTACAGGAGCAGGTGTGTATTCAGTCAGTGACAATGGTGTTGGATGAAGATGTGGGTCATCAGATCACTTTGACCAGAGAGGGCGAGGTGATAATCGGTGTCAACCCGGCACCTGTCCTGCCTTATGTTGATGGTAGGAATCACAAAAACTTACAACAACAAACAACTGAATTTATGTGTCGTTCACACCAATGACTTTTTTGTGCTCAAAAAAAAAAGTCCCACACTCTTATTAATAATTTAATCTTTGATCATGAGTTTTATTGTTTGTCTCTGGGCTTATAGATACAGTGGAGGTGCGGAAGCTGACCTCTGTGTTTACACAGCTAAAGGTAGGGATTGGTCTGAGGTTGCATTATGATGGTCGAGGTGGGCGGGTCTATCTGCAGCTGGAGAGCCAATGGCGTGGACAGACGCTGGGCCTTTGTGGAACCTTCAATGGAAATCTACGAGATGACTTCCTGTGAGCAAGTACTTCACAATTATAGATCAGTGTTGAAAATTTCACTTTACCAGCACTGTAGTGTGTGTGTGTGTGTGTGTGTGTGTGTGTGTGTGTGTGTGTGTGTGTGTGTGTGTGTGTTTGTAGGTCTCCAGCAGGTATGATAGAGGGCACTCCCCAGCTTCATGCCAATGCTTGGAAGGTGTCATCTGCTTGTGTAGCTCCAGTTAACCTGCCCATTGTAGATCCTTGTGAGATGAACCTGCACAATGGTAATTATGGTCTGATCTTGGTCTATATTCAATTAAATACAGGGAAATGGAACAAGTGAAGGGTGGCATGAATAAAGGTCTACATACTGCCCTATACACCCTGATATCCTAAGTATTATTGATTCCTGGGTGGTACCATGAGTTGTACAGGTTTTGGCTGCCAGTTTGTTCAGACTATAACTGTAAATATTTCAAAAAAGTATTTTGTTTGTTTTTGTGTGTTCAAGTATTCTATGCATCCCAGTGTGAGGTGCTTCTGGGGAATGTGTTTGCCCCATGTCATGGCTACATCAGTCCAAACATCTACCAGCAGCAGTGCCGCTACCAGGCCTGTCGCTGTGGGAGCGGCTGTCTGTGCACAGTGCTGGCTCACTACGCTTACCTCTGCTCCAAACACAGAGTAAACATAAATTTCAGATCACATGTCTCTGAATGTGGTAAGTATTTAGCTTCTGGATCGCTTTTATTTATACTGTTTTGTGTTTAAACATCTTACCCAAGATGGTCACAAATTAAAACTGTGCACTAGTTTATGTATTCAGTAGTTGTGTTTGTATCATAATCAGAAAAACTTTATTGTCCATCACGTGGCACTGATAATGTATCTTTGATGTGGCAAACATTGAGTAAAAACATGCACACAGAACTGTGGAAATTAAATTGACATTCAGTTATATAAAAATGTGTATGTGTGTTCACAGGAGTGGTGTGTGTTGGTGGTATGCTGTACCACTCTTGTGTGTCATCTTGTGGGCGTTCCTGTCAGGCTCTGTCAAACACTGAGACATGTAACCCTGACGACTGTTCCGAGGGGTGTGGCTGTCCAGACGGCAGTTACTATGACGATGTGCGCCAGCGCTGTGTGCAGCTGTAAGACTTTAGCACCTCATATATCATCTTAATGACGGTCATCAATTACCATTTTGCAGAAACTATGCACAGTGTTTAATGTAATTAAAATAATGTCATCGGTTTTTACTCAGGTCTCAGTGTCACTGTTACTCCATGGGTGGTGTGTCACAGCCAGGGGAGGTGACCTTCAGCGCCTCCGGCCCCTGGTGAGTCACAGCTGGCCTTGACCTGCACTGAAATGTGAAAACTCGCTTTGGCTGTTCTCCCAACTGCACACAGTGTAGCTTGAGTGATTGTCAAATGAGATGTAGAGCACTTAAACTAACCTTGTGTTTGATAACATTACTCTCTTTCCCAAACACTCACTCCTTTTTCTCTCCCTTCCTGTCTCCTCCATCAGTCTGTGCAGAAATGGGAAGATGGAGTGTGTGCCAGAGGAAAAAGGTAACTCTCCACACTCGCCCCCTCCCTTTGGTTCCTGCTCTCGTTCGTTTCAACAACAAAGTGTTGTTTCATGCTGTGTCCCTCTTGCTGAAATCAAGAGCCTTATGTCTGTAGTTGTAACTTGTTTCCCATGACTGGCTGTTGTGGTTGATGTTTAAGGCGACTGGGGCATTGATTTTCTTGTGTGTGTGTGTGTGTGTGTGTGTGTGCGCGCGTGTATGCGTGCGTGCGTGCGTGCTTGCACATTGTAGAGCCTGATAGTGTAGAGGTCGGGGAGTGTCCAGAAGGGAAAGTGTACCACAGCTGCACTGAGCAGAGAGGAGGCGTGGCCTGTGCACCAACCTGCCGCAACTTGATGTTGAACCTCACTTGCCCTCCTAACACACCATGCATCCCTGGCTGTGTCTGCCCTCCTGGGTAAAATAAGAACCTGCTGCCTTCCAATGTTGTGTATTTGTGTTTTTAAAAGACCTTAAAAAGTATAAATGTATTCTAGTCCACTCTGCAAAACATACCATACGTTTTTGAGTGACTTTCCACACTTCCAGGGAGTCACTTCTTGGTGTTCATTACAGTATCTACTTTCAGATTCTGTAAAACACATGTAATGCAAAAAGCAACAACATGAGAACACAACTAGCAGCAACTGAGATCAGTGGCTGCATGGGAGCTAGAGTGTTAAGTCAGTAGTCATCCGTCATTAATGGTCAAAATCCACATGTATAGTCTTTCGAAAGGAGTATTTATTGAAGGACAACTGACAGAACATTTACAGTAGTGTATGCTTTTTTCATTTGGGAATTAAAGGCCTTCATCGAAGGCACCTTGACAATACACAGTGGTAGGTTATCTTATTTACTTCCCACACCTATAATGTATTCAAAATCCACTCCAGAGGTTACATACATAGGTTTTACATAGAGAATGAGGAAGTTTACTTAATGTGATGTGAGTGTGTTTTAAGTCACACATTTGTGTTGCTCTGTTCCTCCTATGTGAGTTATGTTTTGTCCATGAAGGCTGGTGCTGCACCATGGGGAATGTTACTATCCAGAGAACTGTCCCTGTGCCTGGTTGGGCCTTGAATACCTGCCTGGAGAAAGTGTGGAAACATCATGTTATAAATGGTATATACCTTTACTGTACTCCCCATTTGTATTTTCCCATAGTAAGAGAAACACCAGGCTGAGCAGTGACACGGTTATATTATTTACAAAGTATTTTTTACTGCATTTAGTATGTGCAGTTTTCCATATAGGACTAGAACTAATTCCTAACAAACTGAATCTCCAAACACAAAAGTGTATAATTCATAGTATGATGAGTTTGCATGAAAAAATGTGTGGCATGAAATAGCAATTTTGTCCTACCTCTGTTTCTCTTTACTCTTCTCATCTACATCCACCTATCCATCTTTCAGTGTGTGTCACCGTGGCTATTTTAATTGCACCTACTCACCATGTCCAGCTGTGTGTACTGTCTACAGTGACAGACACTATCACACCTTTGATGGCCTTGAGTATGACTACCACTCTGACTGTCAGGTCTACCTGCTTAAAGTAAGTAGAGTCTGTGTGTGTGCGGACCTCTATGAGTACTTTCTGGTGTGCACATTTGAGTGTTGCATGTGCAAGTAAAGATGTAGCATGGTATTTTTGACGTGTGTGTGTGTGTGTGTGTGTGTGTGTGTGGGTGTGTGTGTGTGTGTGTGTGTGTGGGTGTGTGTGTGTGTGTGTGTGTGTGGGTGTGTGTGTGTGTGTGTGTGTGTGGGTGTGTGTGTGTGTGTGTGTGTGTGTGTGTGTCTGAGATGGGATGTGTAGGAGGAGCATCCTCCACATTTCCTGGCCAGGAATGATTTGGATCTGGGAGAGAAAATCCAAGCCTGTTTCTAATCTTGGAAGAGAGAGTGGTTTTTAATTAGAGCAGATTAAGGTGTGTGTGTGTGTGTGTGTGTGTGTGTGTGTGTGTGTGTGCTGGTGGGTTTGCACCATGGTAATGCTAGCAGATATTGTGCAAAGCTGTAGCAACACAAAGAGACTAGTGTTCACTTCAAACCCCAGGGCTCTTGCGCTCCCAGGGATATAGAATTAGAATTAGCAGAACAGACCCAGCAAACTGGTGGCCACGGTGCAGACCTGAAAAGTATGGGGAAGCAGCTGTCTTGGTAGCCTAGACTTGCTTCCTCTTCTTGTCACCTCTCACATATCCAGAATGACAGTGTCTTGAACAGGTAGAATCAAATTTGAAATTTGTATTTTTGGACGCAGTGGCATTTGTAAAGGGAGAATTGTGAACAAACAAATTAAAACATTGTGTTGTCTTTCTAGGACAGAGATGAGAAGCGCTGACGAGACTTCCTTTCCTCACAAGAGTAATATTTTGTCTTCCCCTGTGATCAGAGTGCAGGAGAAACCGAGGTGTCCATTGTTGCCCAAAACAAGGACTGCTATGAGAGCGGCATTGTGTGCATGAAAATACTGGTCATTCACGTGGGACTTACCAAAATCTACTTCACCGACAACTCTGGCAACCCAGTACGGACAACACACACACACACAGTAACACTCTCTATATATCAATCAATTCAATTTACTGGGGTTTCTTTTCCTCTCAAAAATATATCAGTTAAATATATCAATAAAAATCCAGCGATTCCTGCTAGTACCTGCTAACAATACTTTGTCCTGCCTTAGAGCCCATCCACTGTTGTAGGTCGAGGATCAGAATTTGAGTTGTGGAAAGCAGGCTACTACACTGTGGTCCACTTCTCCAATCAGGACCTGACCATCCTCTGGGACCGCAAGACAACTGTACACATCAGAGCTGGACCTCAGTGGAAGGTCTGGACTGGGAGTAATATATTTTGGTTATAACCGCTTTAAATTGTCCTCCGACATAGACTGGACTGTTATAAAAGGAATCCTAAAACATGATTGACATGACTCAGAGTCTGCTTTTTTTCCCCTCAGGGCCTTCTCAGTGGGCTATGTGGAAATTTTGACAGTGTGACAGTGAACGATATGACCACCTCTAGCCACATGGAAGTCAGTAATGCACAGACCTTTGGAGATAGCTGGGCTCTGGGACAGGTATGAGTCAGCTTAGCTCCTCTCCTCCATTGATTACCCATTTACCCTCTTTCTGTCTTTATCTGTCCCTCACTCACTAAGTCTTTCACGGCTCTCTAACTGTCTGTTGTTCCTGTAATTTATGTGTGCATGTCTCCCTCGTGTCCACTGTGATATTTACGAGTAATCAGACACTCGATCACCTTCTGTGTGTGTGTGTGTGTGTGTGTGTGTGTGTGTGTGTGTGTGTGTGTGTGTGTGTGTGTGCGTGCGTGTGTGCGTGCGTGCGTGTGTGTGCGTGTGCGTGTGTGTTTTAGTGCGAAAGTGACTACATAGTTGAGCGACCGTGTGAAGGGGACTTGGGGAGACAGCCGTACGCCAAGAGGGAATGTGGTCTCCTCTACAGCGATGTCTTTGCACCCTGTCACAACGTGGTGAGTCCCATTGAACTGATGCACACACATACAAATGTCCCTACAGAGTGAATGCAGCTGTAGAAAGGTTATCTTGACTGCACCAGGGGAGTAGCAGTTGTTGAGGGGTTACAGGAACAACTCTTAACTGATCCCAGCACACTGTTCCCCAGAGAAAAATACCAAATGCCACATCAAGTGCAAGGCTACACTCATCTACAGACACACAGGTCCATGTTCTATTGCAGTATAGTATGTCTCATTGTGGCCAGCAGATGGAGCCATGTATATATGCACAGAAACATTATTTGGGCCATAAACCACCATAAAAACTGAAGCCAAAGATCACACCGGAGCACTACATTTACTCGACTTTATTAATATTATGCAAGTAACTAACACTTTCAATAGAGGTGAACATAATTGATATGTAAGTGTTAATCCTTGCACATTTCTGTTTAACAGTTACTTGAAGCTTTTAATGTGTTTTATCACTTGATTATTGATGATGTGCTGTTCCTAATTAACGTCTTTAATAAGTGCTGTCACGGCACCGGTTTTAAGCATTAATCCTCTCTCAATGACAAACAGACACACTCAACATGAAAACATATTTATTTACAATCTGTTAAGAGAGTAAGTGAATCCTGTGGCTTTACTTGCATTCAATTTTTATGAAGTAGCCCTGATATGTTCACTCTGGGAAAGTATTTCTTAACATCTTTAACTAGTGGTTTCATCGGAGATATTATTTCTGTATTCCTTTCATCGCTTCCTTTTTATGACCTATGTACTGTATAAGTTTGTGTGTTATTTGGGACTGCAACTATAGCATTAAAATATTGGTACAGGACATTTGTTTACAGTGTAGTGAGAAAAACATTGCCTCGTACTTATCATTCAGGGGGCAAAGAGGCAACTGATCCTGCTCTTTTCATGGCAGTTTGTTTCTTTGCTTGGATTTATATAGAAAAGATGGTTTCACGCAAATAAGTAAATCCAGAGGATTTCAAAGCTTTAATCTATAAAGTCATGGTTAGAGGACAAATCCGAGAGTTTTTTTCTGAAGACTAGCAAGAAGCTATGCGTCTCTTACTTTCAGAAAGTGAATCCTATGTTCACTGTAGCTGTTCAAATTCTTTTCAAAACGGAGAAGAAACATTTGAAAACACCACTGAAGTTAGCCAAACATCCTCATTTTTGTGATTTCGCTGTAGTTTTCTCTACATCCTAATTGGAGAGGAGGAAGCCAGATAAAATCTATCTCTACATTTCTGATTCCAAAACTCACCTTTCTCAAGAAAAACACCTTCAATCTAATTCAATATGTAAGTGCCCTTGCTCTGCAAAGACAATAGTTTTTTTGGTTTGCTGTATAATCTGGTCTATAGGGCAGCTTTGGTCAGTGTTTGTTCTTAAACCTAAACAACTGGTACACTTACAATCACTATTCCTGTTTAAAATAAAATTTCTATTGAGGATAAGTTTTATGACTTCCCTGATATTACCAATATTTCACAGATTTTCTGACTAGATTTTTTTAAGTGTTCATAAGCAATATAATAATAATAAAATGTCTGAAGTACCCCTTTAGTAACACGACTTTAATATTTGAGTGCAAGCCTGCTGCTCCAGCCAGGATGACACTGCCTAATCAATATCTGTGCTTGTCGCATCTTCTAAAATCAGAATGGTAGAGATAAAAATTTTGCTCTAGTGAAGCATGCGGTATATGTGCATTACAGTAGCCGGTAGCCATTGTCAGAAACACATAGGTCCTGTTAATCTCGCCATTGGACGGACCTCTTTGAACTCATTGCTCATGCATTTTGTCTGTCTGTCATCCGAGCTCATCCGATCCCCTCTGCACCAGAGGTTGACCCACATTCCTTTATCCTGATATCTCATCACTCCTTCCCTGTCTGAATTATTGAGAACAACTCATCCCCTAAACAAGACCTCCCCTAGTTCCCCCCAGCGAGATTTGGCCCGGTTCGTTTTATGATTGTGTGTGTGTGTGTGTGTGTGTGTGTGTGTGTGTGTGTGTGTGTGTGTGTGTGTGTGTGTGTGTGTGTGTGTACGTGTGTACGTGTGTACGTGTGTACGTGTGTGTACGTGTGTACCCTCCAGGTGGATGTGGCCTGGTTCTATAGGAACTGCCTAACAGACACTTGCAATTGTAACCGTGGGGGAGACTGTGAGTGTCTCTGTACATCCATCGCTGCATATGCACACAAGTGTTGTCAACAAGGGGTCACAATACACTGGCGATCTCCCTCTGTCTGTCGTGAGTACACGCACACACTGACACACACATGCTCATAATGCACTGGTCTACTCTATACAGATAAGGGATGTGACCCCTACTAACTTCTTTGACCAGTCCCTCTTTGCATCACCCACTATTCTGTAATTTTTCATTATATGTTGTCTTGTGATTACATCCATGTTACTGAAATGCTTTATAACTTTGTTACTCTCTTTCAGCCTATGATTGTGAATACTATAATCAAGGTATGTAGTAATATGGGTTGCTAATTTTCAGAGAGCTAATTGGTTGATTTTTGTTTCCAAACGTCAAATACTCTGATTCCCTGCTAGCTTGCCACCACACTCATTTCTTCTCCTGCTCTGGCACTCCCCTCACAGAGCTAGGCAATGGCCCATTTTCCTTGCTGAGTGCTGTCTATAATGACACCATGTTCGGAGTGAATCGCACCAGCAGCTCAGTTTTTCCTCTGGTAACAGAGAGACCTGGGCAGTTGCCTGCCCCAGGCCTACTGTTCAACTTCATGATCACAGCAGGGCTGCAGAAGGACAGAACATCACGTGAGCGTCAACATTCACACAATTATACACTACTGCTCTTTGTTTTGGGGTACATTAACCCCCATTCTCTTATTTTCCCAGGTGTCCCTGTGGTGTCACTGGAGTCTGCTGAGAGACCAAACTATTTCCTTGTCGTGTCTGGGCGCAGCCGCCTTCAGTTGGAGCGCTGGACTCGAGATGCAGAGTTTAGTCGCAGGGCAACCTTCATCCAGCACCAGGGACTGTTTCTGCCAGGTCACACTTCATTTGAGCTTGTCGGCCAACCTGGGATCTTTCTGACACTGACACGCACTTTTGCACAAGCCCAGAGATATGACACCTCAGAGGGCTTCAAAATGAGCAGCAGCTTCACATTGGAGGGTCAGAAACACATTACCGTACCCAACATACACATACATGCATATGCATACACGCAAACACTAACTAATCAAGTATTTTCCTCTTCTCTGGCAGAAAGCAGTTTTGTGATACCTTACCGTATGATGTGTGAGTGGCGCTACCAGGCCTGCGCGAGCCCCTGTGTCCACACATGCAATGACCCAGATGCCACACGCTGCCAGTTTCTGCCTCCGTAAGAGGCTTGCCTCATTAAAAGCACTCATTATACAGCCAACATAATCTAGTCTCAAGTGCTGAAATAGGTTTTGTATGTTGCAGTGTGGAGGGCTGCTTCCCACGTTGTCCTAGGAACATGGTCCTTGATGAAGTGACTAGAAGATGTGTCTACACAGAGGACTGTGAGTACAACAGATGAGTTTGTTGTCTTAAAAATGCCATAAGAAAGGTAATAATTTTTCTCATACAACACATAAATTAGTGTTACAAGTCTTCTTGGCATTCTTTTATGAATTTTATTAAGTAAATCATTTTTTTTAAATATTAATTGTCTCCTCCAGGTGTGTCCCTTCCCCCGACCCCGACGCCCTTTGCATATGTAATAAGGTCCAACAGAACTACAACAGCACCACCAACACCAACTACAACAACCACTACGACTACTACTACTTCTACCACAAGGCCAACAACTATCACTACCACCACCACGACTACCACTACGACCACCACCACAACCACCCCCTCCACCAGAGCAACAACTACCTCCTTGACTATCAGGCCTACAACTACCACATCAACCACTACCACTCCTACTACTTCCAGTGCAACATCATCCACTGAGCATGTCACCAGTCCGCTCACCCCATCTCCATCCACATCTCCTCCTGCTCCGCCCACCACTACTGTTTCCACCACTCTTGCTCCCTCAACCCCACCAGAGACAACGACTCTCAGCACGACTGAAATGATCCCCACCCAAACCACAGGGGTCACTACAACCGTCACCACAGCAAGGCCCACCACTGTATCCACTGAGGGCACTACTTCTCCTCCACCCCATACTACCCTTATTTCCACCACCAGTCCTACCTCTACCACCATTACCGCACCATCAACACCAGAGCTGACTACCCCCGTAACCTCCACCCCACCTCCTCCAATCACCACAGTTGTCACTACCGCCCCCACCTCCACTACTTCTGTCCTTGAAACCACCACTGCAACCACAACCACTTCTCGACCTAGACCAGCAGATACAACTATCACCATAGAGACCACTACCCCAACAACCTCAACAGTAGCTGTGACAACCACAGCAACACTTCCTACAACTGTGGAGCCCACTACTGAGCCGGCAACCACAGAAATAGTCACAAGTCCTGGCATCTCTCCTATAACAGAAGAAGCATCAACAACCCCTCCGTTTCTCTTCCCCACTACTCCCTGCACAGTAAGTGTTGCTGTCGTAATTAAAGGTTAATGTACAGTCACGCAAACACCTGAAAGATAAATCTGTGTATGGAACTTGACAAATTGCGACATTTATGCCATGTTTACTATGTAATTGATTACTTACATCATCCTTTGTGAAAAAAGACCTATTACATTCTTGCAGTACAAATTATGCTTTATGTTGTATGTGCTTTCTGTGGATTGGTTAGTATAAACATTTCATTATGAAATGTTTTAATTGACAATATACATACTATTACCATACATATCAATCCACAGTCAAAAGAATGTGTATATGCAGGTTGATGGATTTAGAGACTGGAAAAAAAAAAATCAACGTACAGAATTGTTTTGTGTTTACTAATGAAAACAAGTCTGCAGATGGCTATGAAGGAGTGCTGTGGCATGTAGACATGCTCTCTAAAACAAAAGGTGTGTGACTCCACAGCCCCCGTACTCCTACCGTATCGACGAATGTGCAGAGCTGATCTGTTTCAATGGAGAGCTGCTGCTTCACAACTCCTCTCTCCACTGTCGCTACAACACCACCCAGCCCCAGTGCAGTCTGCTGGGCTTGCCCATCCTCATCAACACAGACCCCTGCTGTCCTCAGTGGCAGTGCCCCTGTAGGTTTGGTTGTTTATGTCAAAAATCTGACTTTCCTATTGGCCCAGTAATAGGAAGGACGAGTGATTAGAACCCATTGTTTGCTCAGATGATGTGTTTGATTTTACTGATACGGCTGGCTTTTCCTAGGTCGCTGCACTGTGATGTCAGACCTGCGTGTGATCACCTTTGATGGCAACAATGTAGCCTTGTATGATAACGGCTCCTACATCCTGGTTAACCTGCCCAGAGAGACTATTATTGGCACTGTGGAGAAATGTCCAACCAGCCAGGTAACATACAAAGAATAAAATATGAACTGAATCATAAATCAGACACTTTTTTTTTGTGAAATGTTTTCTTTTCTTTGTAGAGTGTGAACTCCATCAGACGGACTGTGAGTACAGTCACTTCTCTTCCCTATCATTCCCTACAGATGTGTTTGTATCAGAATCAAAAGTTATGCATTCAGTAAATATTAATCTTGTATCATTACATTCTGTAATTTCACTCTGCTACAGAATCCAACAGGTGGGACATCTGGTCTTTGCTTTAAGAAGCTGAACATCACTACCTCCTCCTACAGAATCATTATCAACCGACTGGATCGCAAGGTGAATCCCTTTACCTAATTTACTGCCAAAAATTCAACTTATGCCTATTAATGTGATTCTTGTACCCCCTTCGTGTCCATCTGTCTCCAGGTGACAATGAACTACAGACCTGTCAGGCTCCCATTTTCCCATCACTCCCTCTATGTGGAGGACACAGGCAGCATGTACTTGATTCATACACCTGGTGGGGTCAGCATGCAGTGGTATCACAGCACTGGCATCATGGTGCTGCAGTACATTACTCCTCATAATGCATCTGTGCCCACTCGAGGCCTTTGTGGTGAGTTCACACACACATACACACCTGCTTTGACTGCGTCAGCACCAGCCTCATTTATCTGAGTGCCAGACATCAGCACCTAAGGGCTTAATGTCTAAACAGCAGCATCACTTTGACTTGTGTCATTATGGGATATGACAATTTGAGATGTTGAGAGCCACTTGGTGTAATTAGGCAGGTTCACAAGCACATTATCTCACTCAACAGTTATATTGCTCACTGACAATGCAGCTGTATAACTCACATCGACACATACACCAAACATTTGTCTGACCATTATGCCAGGTTGTTGTGATGGGAACCCAGAAGATGACCTGAGGCTGCCCAATGGCACAGTGGTCAGAGAGGTGGGAGACATGATGCTCTTCCTGCAGGCGTGGAGAGTGCACACTACTGATGAAACCGAACACACACGCAGGGTCGGAGACAACTGCACCACAGGGGATTGTTCCACCTGTCTCTCCATGCTCTTCCAGAGAGCCTTCACACCATGCCACAGCAAGGTAGCTACCGTATTCACACAGTGTTTTTATTGCAGAGCATGTGTGTCGTTACTTTGTCATTTTCTCTCAACATTCTCTGTTTCCAGCCTTTCCAATGTGAAGATTTAGGTTTGTCTCTATTTTATATCATTGTGAATTGAATATCTTGGGGTTTAAAACTGTTGGTCGGATAAAACAAGCTGTTTGACGACATCACCATGGAGGTTTTTAATTACATTTTAAAGACTAAACTGTTATTTGTGTAATCCAAAAAATATTAATAAATAAAGAGGCTAATCAATAATGAAAATAATCATTCGTTGAAGCATGACATAATTGTGGCCTGGTTGTGAATTTGCAGGTGCCTCCGGAGCAGTTCTGCGACATCATGTGGGCAGGGGACCTGCACTACAAAGATCACCAGTGTGACTTTCTGGCAGCGTACGTGGCAGTCTGCTACACACATCAAGTCTGCATCAGCTGGAGACGGCACAACTTCTGCCGTAAGGAGACACGGGCGAAGAAATGACACACACACACATGCAGATGTACTCACTCGTGTTTCTCATTTGTTCATGCATTGCTAAGCGTCTGTCATCCTGTAGCACTGCGATGTCCCCCTGGAAAGGAGTATCAGCCGTGTGTGAGCACCTGCACCAGCCGCACCTGTTTGAACAGAGAGTACTATGAGGAAACCACCTGCTCCTTCATCAGAGAGGAGTGTGTGTGCCGCAGTGGTACCATTCTGCACCGTGCTGACTCCCCTTACTGCGTAACTGAGGATCGCTGTGGTGAGTGAAAGAGTAATTACATGCATTTGTGATGAAAACTGCACTGTCAGAGAGTCTGAGTGAGTTTTGGACTGTGCTTTATATCAATCCTAGACTCACATATAGCTGCATCGTCTGTGTATTTACTCGGCTATGGTGTATCTAGTGTGCACAGATAACGAGGGTAATCCCCGGGCCCCGGGCGAGGTGTGGAATGGCTCTGCTCGCGGCTGCTGTCTTTACAAATGTATGGAGAATGGCTCTGTGGTGGCTGTTGAACCAGACTGTAACTCTGTCCCTACACCACTGTGTGAGAGGGAGGGAGAGTATGTACTGGATGTACTGGAAGAAGGAGCCTGCTGCCCCAAGAAGATCTGTGGTGAGTTTAAAAGTTGTCAAGCAAATCATTTGGTCCCTGATATGAACTTCTAGAGATTATGATTCAGAGATGAGGGTTTAATGTTTTTTTTCTTCATTCACTCTTTAAGTCTCACTCTATAGCTATATTATATTGCTGATGATGGTTCATCAGTTCTGTAGTTAACCAGTATCCCCTCTTATTTCAGGCATCAAAAATCATAATATTTCAGTGAACATAAGACCCATTAAATCATCTTTCTTTCTCCTTTGTTTTTGCTCCTTCACTACCTGTCAGAGTGCAACATGACCATCTGTGACAGCGAAGTTCCACCTTGTGATAATGGGAACAGGCTACTGATGGGTTACAGTGCTCTATCCTGCTGCCCAGAGTACCGATGTGGTACAAACAAACTTCCATTTTTTAGCTTTTTAGTGCAAAGCTTTCAGACTTTTGAAACTTTCTGTTGACTGTGATATTGGGGCTTAACTTTTGCTTTCACTAAACACTTTGCTGTAAATGGTCTTTAGAGTGTGACCCCATGGCGTGCCCTCCTGTCTCTGCCCCCGACTGCAGGGAAGATCAGTTCCTAGTGGAGGTCAGGGGGCAAAAATCCTGCTGCTACTCTTACCTGTGTGGTAAGTTTTAATTGTGGTTCACAGGTCAGTCTAAAACTGGACGTCTTTGGTATGAGATTGGCCATCTGCTGTGTCTCCGTCTTTGACTTTTTATCTCAATTACAGCAACAAAACTGTGTTTGTTGTTTGTGTTTTCTGTCTGATCAGTGTGTGAGTCATGTATTGAGCCCATTCCAACATGTTCACATGGAGAAATTCTGGCTGTGGATTTAAACACCACCAACAGCTGCTGTCCACAGTATCATTGTGGTAAGTGTGTGTGTGTCTGTGTGTGTGTCTGTGTGTGTCTGTGTGTGTCTGTGTGTGTCTGTGTGTGTCTGTGTGTGTCTGTGTGTGTGTGTCTTCAAAGTCATGTTTATAGTTTCTTCCTGTGTGTCTCCATGTGTTGCAGTGTGTGATGTCAGCCTGTGCCCCGAATCACCTGTGAGCTGTGCACCTGGTCTCTCTTTGGTTCAAACTGCTGTACCCGGGCATTGCTGTCCACAGCACCACTGCGGTACACACAACCCCACACACACGCACACACGCACACACACACACGCACACACATAAATCCTATTTGTTACTGGTGTCAGTTCACTGCTGCGTTGAGTTGATGATTGGAATAATCTCAGACTTTGTTATGCCTGTCATGTTCTTGCATAAGCGTCAAGCTAGCTCTCTCTTTAACTTTCTTTCTGTCACTCTCAGAATGCCAATGTGAGGATAGCTCCCTCCCCATCTGTCAGGTGGTAAGTCAGCAAAAAGCTGCATCACAAGTCACTATCTAATCAGGTCTTTGCTAGAAGGAAGAAAAAGCGAGTAAATTCAGTTAAGTCAGCTGTTTTCTCTGTTTTCTCTCAGGGGGAGGTGTTGGTCAAGATTCCAGACAGCAGCACCAACTGTGGCTGTCCTCAGTATATATGCCGTATGTATAATCCATGCATGAAAGCACACAGACACACCTTTCACTCCTGTGACAATAGACATGCTGTAGCCATTATTTATTCACTGCTTCTTTTTCCAGGCTGCCTGGCACCTGAATAGCATGAAAAACTTTTGTCACTTACAGTATAGTTATTTATCCTGTTTGTGTTTGTGTGTGTAGAGAAGGCAGAGGTGTGTCTTTTCCAAGGGGTAACAGTGTTGGGACCAGGCCAGTCTCTGGTTCAGTACTTTGAGGGAGAGCTGTGCTACACTGTCCACTGCCTAAATCACAGAGACCCAGACTCTGGCTTCTACGCCATGGAAATCACCTCTGTCAACTGCTCCCAAAAATGTGGACCAGTATGCATTCAACACATTTAACACATTTCAATAGATCACACAGTAATTGCTCTACTCGTCATTCATTCCTGCATTCGCTTCATCTTTTTTTTAGCACCAGGTGTATTTGCCATCCTCAGACCCTCAGGTGTGCTGCGGCTCCTGTAAAAATGTTTCCTGTACTTTCACCAATGAAAACGGGACATCAGAGCTTTTTGCTGTAAGAACAAATACATCCACATGTTTCCCAATCCTCCCTTTGGCAGGCAATACTGATTCTGATTGTGTGTGCAGGCAGGGAGTTCCTGGGTGGAGAACTGTACACGTTACGACTGTATGGAAACAGCGGTGGGAGCAGTGATCCTTGCATCTGGGGTGGTTTGCCCGCCTTTCAATGACACAGAGTGTATTCAGGTCAGAACCTTGGAATGTACTATATCTCTGAATTTAAGGTTAAAACTCTTGATGCCACTAGTTGTTTACATTCATTTTCAAAAGCTTTCTAATGCACAATAATAGTTTTTATTGTTTGATTGGGAATTGTTTTTTTGGGGGGTTTTTTATGTAACAGTTCAACTTTTATGTATCAATTATGACTTCTGACTAATTTATTGGTGCACTCATATTATGTATTAAAATGTTAAATGGTGTTTCCCATTAACTCTCGTTTCACATCTTATTCTCCTCTTGCAGAATGGTGGTGTGGTTCAGAGCTATGTGGACGGTTGCTGCAGGACATGTGAGTCTCCAAATTTAATTGGTGCTTCTTGTATTGCTTTGAGCTGTCAATCAGACGGGTGAGCGCCTTGTTGCCTGGCAGTGGATGGGCTTAATGGCTGAGTGGTTGGGGGTGTGGTCTGTTGTAGGGGGTAGAGATAAAAACCTTTTATTGGCCTATCACTACATTTCCCATGATCCCTGGCTTTCCCAGTTTGTCCCCAAATTTTCTGCTGACATATTCATGAGCCAGCACAGCTCAGATGGAAGAAATATTTGATGGAAAATTGAAGGACTTAATAATTAAAAGTTATATATAATGATAAAATATGGCTGTACTCAACATTAAAAAGTCATTGCTAAGTCAATACATAACTTCCTGAACTTTCACTTCATTGAGTAATGAGACATGAAAGTTGTGTTTATGAAACTTTTAATAAACATGCAGTGGTGACATTTTCTCCCTGTGGATTTGGCATCGCAGCCTCTCCCGCTTGCCTGCTTTCGCAGTGAACTTGCAGTCTGGCCAATCAGGGTGTGCAATGGTGAGCGTTTTACCAATGAGGAAGCGAGATGTGCAGGGTTAGAGTTTGCCCTGCTGAGCTGCTCTTTGTAGTACATCAAATGACTGAGTTCCTTGGCTGGCTGCCTGGAGTGACTCAAAAAAAAAGAAGTGAAATCCATGTGCTTGCCAGCTGTACTGATTCCATCCTTCAATGTGTTTGTGTGTAACGTTAACTGTGTTTTCTGAACCAAACGTAACCTTGTGTGTGTTCTCCCGACGTTCTTTGAACCGGACGGCTGCAATCCTGGCGATGCTCCCAGGTTCTGGAGTGGGTGTTTTACCCTTTACCGTTAATCCCGTAACTCCCACTGGTAGTACTAACTGTGACACAGGTACCACCACTCTGCACTGTTCCCACTTGCAATGACTCTTTGGCACCCTGACACTCAATGACTCATTCACTTGCACTTTCAACGTTTGGGCGAATGTGTGTCTGTTTTTGTGTGTGTGTGTGTCTGTCTTTTCATCTCCGTCCTCACTCTGATTAACCCCCAAAACACCGTATATCACGGACAACATTTAACCCTGCAGAAATATCTACTGTGAGACCGTTCATCAGACAATGAGAGATGTTAACTTTAATAGAAAAGACTCGATTTAAAGCCCTAACACCACTTGTGTGACAAAAAAAGCTCAAGTTTAACACTGATCCACTGGAAGAAGCTGAAGATCATTTACTCTTTTCATGCATTCCAGCCTCACACAGAATCCATTTAACCAGCTTTGATTGACTTAAAAACAAGGTTAAGTTTAGGTCAGTAGCCAATTGCCGAGCTGGATCTCTGCTGTGAGAACTGTGCCCCCCCCCCGTCACCCAGCTGTCAATCAAGGCAAGATCCTACTGCTGGGCAACAAAGAGCCCTGCTCAAAAGGCCTTTCAGGTCGTGTGAATGACAGGTCTCTGTGGTAAAATGATCAGAGATTGTGTGTGAGCATGTCTTTGCCAGTGTGTGTTTCTTTGTGTATGTTTGTACTTGCATCTTCATATTTCTGAGCGTTACCTCTGTGTGTGCATCTTATTTCTGTGTGAACATGTGTATAGGTAAAGAGGATGGTAAGACATGCAAACGCGTGGCCATTCGGACTACTATTAGAAAAGATGACTGCAGGAGTAATGCACCGGTGAGAGAGATGAGAGAAATGCAAGCATGAAATGAGGAGGCTGATTTAGCTGAGAAAAAAAAATACTGCTAAAAAAAATTATGCATTATTTTCTATTATTGTGAATTCTCGTCTCCCATCATCATCTCCTCTCCGTCCTCTTACAGGTTACAGTGTATTCTTGTGATGGGAAATGCCCGTCTGCCACCATATTCAACTTTAACATCAACAGTCACGCCAGGTTCTGTAAGTGCTGCCGCGAGAGTGGACTACAAACCCGCTCCGTCTCACTCTACTGCTCTCGTAATGCCACAGTCGTGGAGTACAACTTCCAAGAGCCTGTGGACTGTTCCTGTCAGTGGAACTGAAAAAAATCCATGCAGGCAAAAAAATAAAGAAATAAAAAAATGAATGCAAGCTTAACAAATGATGAGAATGTCTGATTGAAGGAATGAAGGGGTGAGTGGGTGGGGGGTATCAGGTTTTTACAGTACTGCTGAACAAGTATGAAAACCAGCCATGTTTTATTTTACTTGTCACTATAGTACACAACACTGGCCATGAGTCGTAGTTGTAACTAAAAGATATTGAAAATAACTGATATAAGTGGGAGATATTTTTCAAGTAGTTTTGTCTGCACTTTAGTCTTCATTTTCTTTAAGACCTGCTGTGCCAACCCAGTCAGCTTGCTAGTGCTTTCAAGCGATGGTACAATGCCATTAGCCTCTTATTCTACTGCATATTAACAGTAGATAATCATGTTGACGCAGCAGTTGTTGCATTTTTTATATCCACTGTTGGGTTCAAACACTGTATGTGGATTTTAGTTGATCAGAAATGAATTTAGCCTTTGTACAAATGAAAGTGTTATGGGATGCTTTGATTCCGTCTAAAAGTTTAATGAGTTTCTAAAATGTGATCTTTGTCCTTTTATGTAGTTCCCTTATTTTCAAGTAAAGTAGTAGAATAAAAGATTTAACAGTATGTTTGTCTGAATGTTTTTTCAAGGCTGGCTGTGTCCTCAGGACCTGCAATGTGTCCTTTTCACACTCCCTTGTCGTTTCTCTTCCTCGAACACACATACTCATCCTGATTCAGCATCTGTAGTGCTGACATGTGTTTGTGTTTCACCTCTGAAAGGTTATTGCTGTGTGGGAGTCACCTCTTCATAACAGAACCCCTCAGCGGACTCAGCTCTCCATCTGTCCATCATGTCTCCCTTTCACATTCCTGTCATTCCACATGGACCAGTGTTTCCACCACACCCCATCTCTGAGCCAAACCACTCTCACCGCTGAAATGTTTTTAAACAATTTGAGGCATATGCTTATTTTAGAGGTTACATGAATTCAAGAAAACAAAACATTAGACCTGTCTGCCTTGACTGGGTGCCTGACTGTTGCTCATGCAGAGGCGTGAAGCTGGAGGCGTTGCCCGCTGAGCACATCTCAATTCCCCCAGAAAACACCACCACCACCATCTCTTATCTTTCTCCTGTTCTCGTCAGCATACCCCACATCTCCCGCCTCCCCACCTCTCCTCTCCTCAGGAGCCCAGCTTTGGAGTGGCCATGTGCCCGTTGTTGCCATGGTGAATTGCTCTTATCCCAACAAAGAGGCAGAACAAATTGGGTCGAACTCATACATGCACAATCTCTCTCCCTCTCTCTCTCTCTCCCTCCCTCCCTCTCTGTTTCTCTCCTTGCATACACACAGGGAGACTGTCTCCTCTCTCACTTAAGGGTTTGCTTCTCGGGGGTTAACAGCCATTGAACGCTGACTTTGAGTGCGCGCTAAATTCAAAGTCTGAAGAAGAAGTAAAAAGAGGCAAAGATTTCCCCATGATTTAAGACAGCCAGGTATTTGTTACCTACTTTCAAAAACTTTCACAGTCTGAAAAAAGTCACTCAAAAAGTTACAAGCTGGTGCTCGGCTGTGCGTCAGCGTTCCCAAATAGCTGGGGACTTTCCACAGCTCATGTTTACGCACAGCTGTCTTATAAGCGTACCAATGGCTGAAGGTAAATCCAGGACCCATTATGTATCGCTTTGGAAGTGACTGCGTGTATCCAGGTGGATCAGTAACCGGGGAAATGTATGCTTGATGAGATGAAGTGACATTTCCAATGGGTGGAACAGAGCGTCTGTGGTTATTTGCCAGTTTATGTCAGGTAAGAACAAGGCCTGCACAACTTAAACTCCTTGGTAAAGCAGTTTATTTTCTAATTCTTTTCTGTCTAATTGTGTTCCGAGGTGCTTTGCAATACTATTTAATGTATAATGAATTTTGTACACGCTTTGGACAAATAATTTCATTCAGCAAACTCTAACTCTCACCTCTTTTATTTTCCTATGCCTTAGGTGGTGCTGCTGACCTGTGAACAGCACTCAAACCCTGTTGAGGTTGAAATTAGGTTTCACTCCTTCCCTTCCAGTCAAGATCCAGACAGCTACACAGTCACCTGCAGGACTGCAAGTAACCGTTTGGTAAGAACAGTAGCACAGGTGGATAATGGCAGAGATACAATGGTTTTGGTTTCATTTGCCTTTCTATAGGGCTCGATTTTAGTTTGAGGAACGGATACATTCTTCTAACACCTCTACAGGTGTATGCAGAGCCCATTGATCCCTCAGCGTGCTCACCTGATTGCAAGACGTCACTGCGATTGGTCAAGAATCAAAGGGGATATAACATCTCATTGAGAGCCTCCAAGAATGATGCCACACTTGAGGCAAAGACCTTTCACTTACGTGAGTCTCTGTGAACCTGAGTGCCACAATCCTGATGAAGAAAGGTAAACAAGCCTGATTATTTTGAATATTGATATGTTGGTTAATGATGTTATCTCTCTTCTTGTCTCTACTGGTTTCCACTGTGTTTGCATTCAGTGCCAGTGTCCCTGTCTTCGCTTCATGTACACAGTACATCGACTTCTGCTCTTCTGACTTGGAAACTTCACAGACAAGAAAGTCTATCCACCCTGAGTCTGTACAACACTCACACACAATCTGTCATGCACATCTTTAACATGAAGCCCTCAGAGGTAGCAAAGTCCCAGTACACAGTGATAGGTCTCCAGCCTGGCACACGCTTCAAGGTCAAAGTTGTGGTGACTACGCTGCTCAAACAGCATAATGTGATCTTGAAGCAGAGATTCAGCGTTGGCATCGTAACAGGTTTTATACATGTGCTCTACTACAACCACGTACCCACAACTTCAACCTTAAAACTGACTGTAGGCAGGGTGGACTCTGTGGTCTAAGTTGATGATCATTTCTCTCTCCAGCTCAGTGCCCCCCTGGTTGGCTGGCCAATGGGAGAAGCTGCTTCACTGTGAGAAGAACAGGTTTCACCTGGAATGAAGCCCAGCACAGCTGCAAACACCTGGCAGCTGGAAGTCACCTGGCTGACCTGAAGACCCAGGAAGATCTGCTTTTTGTATCTTCTCACCTGCTGAACCACAACAACCTGCTGCTGCTATGGACTGGACTCAGTGACCAGCAGGTAGCTTTATTTCATAAACATGCGTTTTAACTAGAGGTACTGAGGAGAAAACCTTTTTTTTTTTTTCATTTCATCCTATCTGCAATGATATGATTAATAACAATATTATGACTTTGATTAATTTTTCCATTTACTTTGCTTTTGTTTTCTTGCGAATATGCATATTTATATATAATTTAACAAGGGATGACATTTGAGAATTTTCATAAATAAACAAGCCTTTAAAAATTTAAAGAGGTATTTGTCAAAAACCTTTCAATGAGATATTTACAACGCAGTACATTATTTTTACACCCTGTAGGGGTGAAGTTGTTGTTCTATATACCTCAAGACTGTGTCATAATCACACAAAATTTGATCCTGCAGGATATGGAGAATTATGTGGAAAGTTAAGTGCAGGGCTGTAGATTTGAAAATCATCTGCACAACATTTTGTCACACTTACACAACTTCGTGTAGGGACATTCTCACACACTGTTTGTGTAAAAGAACCTATACAAAGGATCAGTATCATCAGACCTGCGGCCGTATGTTTTGGACACTCGGGTGAAGAGAGGAGCAGAGTTGTAAACTGACCAGCACCTGGTAGTGAGTTGGATCAGATGGCGGGGGAATACACCTGGCAGGCCCAAACGGGTTGTGAGGGTCTGCTGGGGAAGCCTGGCGGAAGAACCCGTCAAGATGATTTTCAAACAGATTTTCTTTTTTTTTCCAAGTATATTTTTTAGGCCTTTATTTGACAGTACAGTAGAGAGACAGGAAATTGGGAGGCAGAGAGAGGGGAATTGCATGCAGCAAAGGCCGTCCGATGCGGGACTCGAACCGGGGCCAACTGCAGCGAGGACTGTAGCCTCTACACATGGGGCGCCTGCTTAGACCACTACGCCACACGACGCCCCTCCAGCAGAGTTTCCATCGCGTCCCGCGGGCGGTGGGGGACACTGAGTCCGAATGGGCCTTGTTCCGGTCTGCCGTTGTTGAGGCGGCTGTTGCAAGCTGCGGCCGCAGGGTAGCTGGGGCCAGTCGTGGCGGTAACCCCCGTACCCGCTGGTGGACACCAGAGGTGGGGGAAGCCGTCAGGCTGAAGAAGGAATCGGCTGACTGGTACCGGCGGGCCAAGCGGAGCGCAGCCGCGGCAGTTGCTGAGGCAAAAACTCGGGCGTGGGAGGACGAGACTGTGGAGGAAGACTATCGATTGGCTCCAAAAAGGTTCTGGCAAACCGTCCGGCGCCTCAGGGGAGGAAGGCGGCAACTCGCTCACTGTTTACAGTGGGGGCGGGGAGCTGCTGACGTCAACTGAGGATATAGTCGGACGGTGGAAGGAATACTTTGAGGAGCTCCTCAATCCCACCAACACGTATTCCGTGGAGGAAACAGAGTCAAGAGACCTGGGGATGGATGCTCTTGTGAAGGGGGGGGGTGGGTGAGTGTGTAGGCTCTGTGGTTGAATAAAAATATATTAAAAGTAACAATGTAATTTAAAACCAGGCAAGGAGACAGTTGCTAAAACTAAGAGCCAGACAGAAACTGAAGGAGCATCTATACTGATATTTATTCAACGAATAAAGATGAGGGGTGTAAAATCACAGGGTAAAGTCAATAAAAAGGGTAAAAACTAGCGCCGGGTAATGGGGAAATGAGCTAAAATAGGGGCGAGCTAAAACTAAGGGGATGAGAGTCCAATAAATCAGTTCGAGAGTCTTATCTGTGGGGGAAGGGGGCCGCAGCACAAGTGCCGGACGCCGGCAGGAGAGCGGCTCCGGCTGTCCGTAGAGAAGCGTGGATCCTTCCTGTAGTCACTCAGCTTCTCCGTCCACTGGCAGCTACCGGCGTCGCACCCCTCCGGCTACGGCTGCTCCTCCTCA